AAACGCTTGCCCTTAAAACCCTGAAAACCCTGCAAACTGTGCAAAAGCTTCTCGAAACGCCGAACCGCTGCCCCAAGGCCACATCGCTTCAACATTCCCTTGGCATGCTTCATCCTGCAGCCCACAGGCACCCCAAGGCCACACATCAATGGCTTCTTATGGGCGTCCAAGCCTGCCGTTTGCCAGCCCTTAAACCCTTAAAACGCTTAAAACCCTTAAAACGCTTAAAATCCTTAAAAACCCTCAAAACCCTTAAAACCCTTAAAACCTTTCATGGGCGTCCAAGCCTGCCGTTTGCCAGCCCTTAAACGCCATCGCTTAAACATTCCCTTGGCATGCTTCATCCTGCAGCCAACAGGCACCCCAAGGCCACACATCAATGGCTTCTTATGGGCGTCCAAGCCTGCCATTTGCCAGCCCTTAAACCCTTAAAACGCTTCAAACCCTTACAAACCCTCAAAACCCTTACCCTTACAACCCTTAAAACCCTCCATGGGCGTCTAAGCCTGCCGTTTGCCAGCCCTTAAACGCCATCGCTTCAACATTCCCTTGGCATGCTTCATCCTGCAGCCTACAGGCACCCCAAGGCCACACATCAATGGCTTCTTATGGGCGTCCAAGCCTGCCGTTTGCCAGCCCTTAAACCCTTAAAACGCTAAAAACCCTTAAAACGCTTAAAATCCTTAAAAACCTTCAAAACCCTTAAAACCCTTAACCTTTCATGGGCGTCCAAGCCTGCCGTTTGCCAGCCCTTAAACGCCATCGCTTAAACATTCCCTTGGCATGCTTCATCCTGCAGCCAACAGGCACCCCAAGGCCGCACATCAATGGCTTCTTATGGGCGTCCAAGCCTGCCGTTTGCCAGCCCTTAAACGCCATCGCTTAAACATTCCCTTGGCATGCTTCATCCTGCAGCCAACAGGCACCCCAAGGCCACGCATCAATGGCTTCTTATGGGCGTCCAAGCCTGCCGTTTGCCAGCCCTTAAACCATTAAAACGCTTCAAACCCTTCAAAACCCTCAAAACCCTTAAAACCCTTACTGGGCGTCCAAGCCTTCCGTTTGCCAGCCCTTAAACGCCATCGCTTAAACATTCCCTTGGCATGCTTCATCCTGCAGCCAACAGGCACCCCAAGGCTACACATCAATGGCTTCTTATGGGCGTCCAAGCCTGCCGTTTGCCAGCCCTGAAACCCTTAAAACGTTTAAAACGCTGAAAAACCCTCAAAACCCTTGAAACCTTTCAAACCCTTAATGGGCGTCCAAGCCTTCCGTTTGCCAGCCCTTGGTTTTATTTATTGATCCTGCCCTGCCACCCCCACAAAGGGGGGTCGGCGGCACCAGGACGCTAGCCCATTCTATTGGATGAAATATGGGTTGTGTATGGATTATAAACCACTAACGATTCATGGGATGCACATCCGTTAGGAACACCTACAAGTTGCAAATCAATGGAAAAATGCTCGGACGGCAATGGCCCCAGTAATTCACGTTGTTTGAGTTTTTCGCTAAGCAGGGTTGAAACCTGCGAGGGAGTCAACACGCTGTTGGCACTGGGCTAAACGCAACAACCGATGACACTTCGACGTGCTTTCAAGCAACACAACAAATGTGAAGACGTGTGACCAAACTATTAGGCACATACACGTAAATTGTACAGAGGGTCATTCCCCACAGCACAATCTATTAAATCTATATTATTGATTAATTGCCATTTATACATGATCATATGTGGCAGAATGTTTCTCATCTGTCTCACATGTGTGAGGTTGTTCAAATGTCTTTGATACTGTGGATGGAAGATATCCTGCACGAGTTGATAGATGGTTTATTCCATTATTTATAGGATTTCAACCATCCAAGGTGGTGCAGGATTTCTTCCATCCACAGTAACTCAGTATTTCGGCGTGTAATGACACCCAAATCTTTATTTGTTTTTCTGCGTTTAGGGTATGCGTTGGTTCTCCCGTTCTCCCTAGTCTGGCAAGTTTTGGGGCACTCCGTACGGACTCCCCCAGACCAATAAGCCCTTTTGATTAATCAGGAGTTGCCCCCGAAATAGTGATACAGCACTAATGAAAGATTGGTATCAGTAAAGTTGTGGTATAGTACCATCCACCTAAGATTCAATACCCCATACTGTATAATACATATATATATATATAATTATATATATAATAGTAATATCCCATAGGATCCATGTATGGTATATATATATATATATGCTAACATTTGGGGTATATTGATTGTAAATGTTAGCATATATACCATATATGGATCCTATGGGTATGTATATATGAATATGTATATACTAGCACAAATGGTCCCAAATATCTAACTTTATCCGCTACTTAACACGAATTCCTCGGGGGTGATCAAGATATTGGCGGGGGACCAAGGGCTGACGGGGATGGCAAGTTCTGGGTTCTGGTCGGGGAATGTTAGGCAATAGATACCCGCAATTGAGGGAAAAATACCATCAAACCAACAAAAAGAGAACACACAATTCCCACCTCATGTTTTTTGAAGCACCAACTAGCAAAATGATCTGTCACTATCCGCTGGATCCCAGCATTTTTTTGTGTTTTTCACTTCAGCAATGCAGTTTTTGCCCGCAGGGGCCACGGGTCAGACCTCTAACAGTCACTGTGACCATGAAATCAGGAGCACATGGGGTTCGATTAGGAAACACGGTCTACGTGACAATCAAGAAATTGTGAACTGAGCTGCTGAAAGTGAAGCTTTGATTGGAATGATTGGGGTATATTTTATGTTGATTTTTAGTGGGATATGAAAATTGTACATACATGAAAAAACAGGTGTGTATGTACATAGTATGTACAATATGCTACACATACCAAACAAGCAGCAACAAATCCTTTTGCATGGGGGAAATGACTGCAAAGTACCGGGTTTGAAAATGCAATGTTTCAGACAAATCGAAACCACAAATTACGCTTATATGGCTTACCTACCTTCCCCATATCAACTCCAGCAAACTTTTTACCGCCCAAAACATGTTGAGTACCATTCGAACATGTGTTGCCGTTTTTCCATGGTAATTGTGGGGTTGCCGATGAATATGGGTCGATTTTTTATCAAACACTCTGGGGTTTACAGCTAAAACACCCAGGGGATGCCCGGGTTTGACCCATAGATGTTTAATCTACGAGGTCAACCTTCAGAGTGATCTCCACAACCATGTGTACTTCGCTACGCTCCGCTACGTTGCCAGTGCCAACAAACGTTGCCAGAGATCGATGGAAACCACTCCCAGCAGCCACAGGACGATGCAATATCTAGTTGATCTGCAGTAAAAAAAGAAGAACACAACTGAATTGCCGGATTTAAGTGGACAGACTTCCTTCACCGTTGTAATCAATTGTTATCATTATCGTTTCAAATACGGAAATTCCGCTGGGTAAATCAACCACAAATCATTGGCCACTGGGATGGGTTACCAGGTATAGGGGAGATACCCTTCATCGTAAAACGATTCAGGGTTACGCTATGGGTGGATGACATCCACGTTCCCAAGTGTGTGCTGCGCAACAAGATTCCCCAGTTGAAATCATACAATCTGGCAGTTGTCTGTAACAACTGAAATTCACATATATATATATTATATATAGCCATATATCATCCATATATAACGATTATATATCCTAGTCATTAATGATTCACAGTGAAGTCGCAGTAAGGTTGCCACAACTCACCGAAACATAACTACACTCTGCTACTGAAAGACTTTCACTTGGTGTTTTGTTTTTGTTTGGTGGACATTGTGTTTTCCCAACTCTCCACTGATGGTGAGAATCTGCCGTTGGAATGTGAGGAATGGTCACCAACAACACATGTTCCACATGCCTATCCCACATCTGCATTGGTTGGCAAAACATTCAAAACTGGCAGGACATTTTGACAAACGGTATGATCTGGGGAAACCAAAGAAAACATGGACACTATGCTCCGCTGTGTGTTAAGGACACGCAGCACACACCTTGGGTACAGGTGTATCAAGTCCTTCCCCACCTTCTTCACACAAGGGCCACGTCGTGCCCAATGCAACCAGGTAGATTGTTCGCACCCACAGTTACGAACAGTTGGTTCGCATCGAAGACCGCCAGATGACTCCGCACCAAAGACATGTCACATTGTCAACGTTGCATTCCTGAAATGTGGGTTGCAGTTTCAATCCCAGAACAAAACATTAACTTTAACTGAAATATGTTTGGATATCCGGCCCTGATGCTTGGGAAGTACATTGGAACTGACAACCCCCAAAAATGAACCAATTGTTTTGTGCATGCACCTGCCATGTATGCAGTTGACAAAACAGGACATCCATCAGCCCTCTGGTCACAACCAAACCCTGAAGCCCGTCCATGATATAGGCAAGGCTAAGGACCCTAAGGATCCCTAAGGACTCTCAGATCTTGGCCAGTCAAATGTGAAACATCCAATGTTTGGGGTACCCAGCTCCGATATCTGTTTGTTGCCTCACTGTTTTTGTAGCAAACCCCAGCACCCCGCAACTAACAAGTAATTGGTTATAGTCAATTTCCCCACACGGCCAAGAATGCGCAGCACTCATAAGTGGTTATTAAACCAGAGTTGCAGGGGTTATATCCCAACTTAATGGAGGCTATTACCAGGGAAAAAACACCAGCTTCACCAAGTAACCCACCAGAGGTCGACCCAGTTGCCAGAGGGATCCCGAAAAACTAACGTAACTGATGGGAAAATCACCATTTCCTTCTGGGTAAATCCACTATTTCTATGGCCATTTTCCAGTTCGCAAACTTTTTCTTCAAGCCATCCGCAGTCAGCACAGGCGTGACCCGTTCATCTCAGGCGGATCCGCTGAGGAATCCGTCCATCAGAGTCCTTATGTCCTTCCTCGCGGGTGGGGCGCCAGCAAACAAGCATTGAAACTTAGCAGAAACAGAGGTCCTGCACTGAAATGGAACTTTTTTGACCAATGGATTCAATGGATGTTCATCCACTTATGGCGCCCCACCCTCCTTCTTCGTCCAGTTCTGCTACATCAGGTATCCTTGATGTAGACTCTCGGCCTTGCAGCAATCAGAACAGGATGCTGAAAATCGGGTCTCTGAACCAATCGTGAGCGGTTCACGTCACCATAGTTGGTCCACCCAATTACGTATATAATTAAATAAATAAATACATAAACAAATAAATAGATACATATATATATATATATGTATACAAATATATATATATATATTCCCAGAGAAGAAAAAGAACTGACAATTTTTCAGTTGCCCACCGATCTTGCTTACCCAATCTTGTTTAGCTGTCCAAAAAAAATATTCCTCCATAGAGAAATACCCAGCTACGATTCCAAAGATTGGGTATACCAATGATCCGCGTCAAGCTGGTCGCGTTTAGTTTCAGAAACCATCCAGTCAGGAGGTCAATATGTGTGACACAAACCCATTTTTATTGCACAACTCCCTATTTTTTTGCTGAACGTATGATGGATGATTATGTATGATTTTGTTTTTTGTTTTTTGTTTTTTTTTTGCGAACACATAGTATAGATACATGTGTAAATATGTATGCATATGTGAATATACATATATAAACAGTCTACAAGTATGGTTGCTAACCACTTGCTGATTTGGATAATCCTGCAAGGGAGTCTGCTCTACACGCCGTCATGAAGTGGTATCTTGTACATTATTTTCTGGCTCAGCCATCCCAATAGTTCGAAAGTCTGTTGGGATCATTGTCTCAGGTAGACGGGACATGATGGAAACATCTGACATATACATATGTGTGCATCTATCTATATACATACAAATATATATATATATAGATTAAACATACGTATTATTATTATTACTATTATTATTAATATATTATTAATTACAATTGTTATTATTATCATCATTATTATTATATACATGAAACCATCAACCAGGTATATAATAAAGTCTTGAATGCTGGGGCTACGGATTGGTATTGAGATGTGGACTGCCAGTATTGTGACGATGAGTCAAAAGTGCGTGCCCTAACAAGATAGTTGGCTTTATCATGGAAATCTAAGGATATCCTGCCTCCCAAAATATCAGCGCAACAAACTCTTAAGGGGCTATTAAGAGCTATCAATCCTTCTTAGGGGGTTGTTAAGCACCTATTGTTGGGCTACCATTGGAAATGTACAAACTTCTATGATTTTACGTTCCAAATGACTAGTATCTCTGATATTGAGTTACCGCTATTTGGGAGGTACCCCCCTGTTTAATCAATCAGATTCTCACCGTCTCGCCCGTCAGCCATCGTCTCGCCAAGGGGCGCTGGGGGGCGGGTCCATATCCCTGAGATCGACGTTTCAACCAATGAAAATAAGGGGATCATTATTAACATGGAATAATGTGGATCATGAAATGAATCATCATTGGAATAATGGATGATTAACATTACATGGATAATTTCACTGGAGATCATCCATGAAATCATTCTTCATTCGAATAATGAATGTAACCAATTACATCCAATTAAATTATTACATTTACCCTCTGGCAATCGAAAAAAACATATCAATGGGAAAATCGACTATATATAAATGGGGGATTTTCCAGCAAGCCATGATAGGCCATATTTGATTACCGAAGCAAACCCGGAATGAAACATAAACCCTGACAAATAGGGGATTGGAAGATTCGTTTTCCACTAAGACTTTGTTATTTTCAGGGTAAAACTGTGAATTGGGGGGAGGGCACCTTGACAACAATATTCATCAAACCAAAATGGGGACAATAAATGGCAATCATCAGTAAAGCTTCTGGATCTAGCAAAGCTTCTGCATGAGAATCCAGTATGGGGACCCCAGTTAAAGCACAGTTCATTGGACCTGAGACCATCCAGTGAGCCAGTCATTGGAAGCTGAAGTTCTCATGCGGAAACTGAAGATTTTCATGAAGCCGAACCAAGAAACTAAGGCATTCCATGAATGTACGCTATAGTCACGGAGAAAAACTGATACAGTAAATCATATTTACTCACTCCCCATCCGAGAGTTGAGCTCGTTTTTCCTAGTTGATCAGCATTTTCCCTCTGGAGCAGTGTCATTTTTGAGGTATGCCCCATTCTCAAACAAACCCAAATAAACATAATGATTGTTGGTTGTATATCCGCATCCGCCTTACCGCTCTATTTGTTGGTTAAAAAGAAAACAAGTTTGGCTGGTTAACATCCATCAAATTCACCACTAAATCCATCTGATTTGTCCAAATCATGTTTGGATTATAAGTTGCCAGTTGCATATCCCAGATAATTTCCCCATTCATATCCAATCAAAACTCTCCAATAATGTACCATGAAAAATATCAATGTTGAAATGTCAAATCCAACTCACTGAAAGATTTGTTTTATTAGCTTATTGGAATATACTTAATCCATGCCGATGTTTAGCAAAAAGAAGATGAAATACTGAAGTAATCCAGGTTTCCCAGTCATTTAAACTATCTATAGCAACATGGGTACTTTATAATTACTGGTATAAATGGGTATGTTTGGTATATTATCTGGTTGGTGGTTTCAACCCCTCTGAAAAATATGAAAGTCAGTTGGGATTATTTTTCCCAATGGAAAAATAAAACATGTTCCAAACCACCAACCAGTGGTATATCATAGGTATATCTATCTGGGTAAATTATAATAATTCACTAACCTGAAATAAGGCCATTTGGGGATGATTTCCCTTACTAACCATGATTCCAGTGAGGGAGAACAGTGAGGTCGTTATAATTTACCCATTCATAGTTTGTTTTGCTTTCCCTATGCCAAAGTCACCATCTTCATCATCCTCATCTTCCACGATGTCTACCCACCGTCGACGTGCCTCGGGAAAAAAATGTGCAACATAGCTATGAAACATGAGGTTTTTCCATAGATATCTTAGATTACCAAAGGGTAAATCCAATCAGAAATACCAGTTTACTTCGAGAATCTTGGCATGATATGGTCGATGATGGGATGATTAACCATATTTAACAGTCAAATAATGGCGCTCCAAGTATCAAAAAATAGTGATTTAACCATCAGCGAAAATGGGATTGAACCAGCAAATTCATTGAATCAAATAGGTTTAACCATTTACAACTGGATGTGCGGGACCCAGTTGGTGGGTAATAACCATGCTACAAGCCAGCTATATATGGTATATAACGGGGCTTTTATACATGGGCTATGATACTATGATACTGGTTGAGAAACCGCGCACCAACGATGCTCATCCAGGCAGAGGAAGGTCGACACCAACAATCCGAAAATGGGTCAAGATGGGACATCTACCAACCCTTACTGGTGCTAAACGTAGGGAATGGATGGCAATGGGGGTTGCTGGGATGATTATTAATGGTTATTGTGGATCATTCCCGAAATTTCCCTACGTTTAGCACCAGTAAGAACCTCTCAATCGAACCCAGTTCGGTTTGTCTCTGCCTTTTGGTCACCTTTTGGGCGGGCTACCCGCTTTTTCAAGTGATCATTCCCACAATGTGGGGCCAACGATAGCTAAGTTGGTTTATAAGTCCAATAACCTCCAGTAACCATGGTTTGTGATACGTATAAGTCTTATAAGTGTAGTGAATGGGGTTTATAAACCAACTTACAACTCAAGTGTCCCATCATTCCCATGTTTGGCAAATGGTACACCATGTCACCTCTGCGGCCGCTGGGGCCCACACAGGCTGGACAACCTCAAACGTTGTAAGCGCTGGAAGTGATCCAAACATGTCGTTTTTTTGAAGGTCGCATGAATCATGATCATAGAAAGTCCCAATTGAAGGTTCTTTTTGTTGAAGTTCTATCCAAAGATTTGAAGGTTTGTTTTGTTGAAGTTTTGTCCAAACTAAAGAAAGACAAGATCACAGAATGCCTTTAGCTGGTTGGCGGTGTCTCTTCCCGTGAACAATATGCGGATCATTGGGAATCATCATCCCATTTTTTCTGGAAAATAGCAGAACAAAACCACCAACGACTTAAAAAAGGAATACTTGATATAGTTGTAAAGTATATAACTCCACCTATAACTTTTAACTATAACTTGTAACCTTGAATCTTTTCGTATGGAGCCCATCGTGTACGTGGTGAAAAGCCTGGACCTACGATTTCACCAACGAGGGATCCAGAGAGTTCTTTCACCGAGAAACGGAACTTCACCAACACCTGAAGATCAGAACCTGAAAATTATGGGTGTTGAAACACTATATCAGCATATATCAGCTATATCCATTATGATCAGAAAATTGATCAGAAAACCCATGAACATCCCGGATTTCTAGATCATTGTATCCCCAGTCATATTCCCATTCCCCATGATGGTCGGAACATCCACCATTTATAAGATCTATAGTGTGGTCAACCGCTAAACCCAATGATAAATCATTCCCTGTATTACCATCAGGTGGTATAAACCAGCCCCAGTCATGGTAAGTTTATGATTGGGTTTACCACATGAAACCATTCCAAACCATTCATAGATTGTTTCTAGTCCTCACCGTCTCCGTCCGGTGTCGCCTCTCCATTGGTTTGATCTTCTTCCTGCGACATGATCGGCGACACCCGCCGCCGTCCGAGCTCTCAAAATTGATGATTTAACCAGCAGAAACTGGCACTTCACCAGCTAGAAATCACCAGTTCCAATGAGTCAACATGCAGATTTCACCAGTAAAAATACGGTCAACAACCCGCACTAGCTATATATACATAATTTAGCTTGAATAACCAGCGTAGATTGCTTATTTTAAGCAGTAAACATTGGGATTTAATCGTTGAATGCGGGATACGAACAGGGGAATCACCTCTAGTTGTGGTTCAAAATGACAATCCGTATATCAAATCATCGGGGTCAACGTAGTTATTTTTGGAGTAAAACTCACTGGGAATTACCAAACTTATTGGGTTTACATGGGTTTACCACGTGTTTGAACGACTTCAAAAGTCCTTCCATGTTCTACATTCTTTACCAGCGATTGTTTGATTGTTGGAGGGTAACCGTTTAGATACCCCTTTGTCAAAAGAAGAGGTGAATAGACTGAAAATGATTGATCTCATTGTCAACCATACCTCTTGAAAAAAAAAAACATGTTTTGCAGCCTTGCAGGATGTGCACCGATGGTTCCACAAAGCGCACAAAGATGTGTATATATTTCTAAGGATGAAACCATCCATTTCATAGGGTTGATCGTTTTGAGGCCAATAACCAATTGGATTGACATTCAAACATTAATTCAAATTGATCTTTTGTGCGCTGTCTCAACATGTCATATCATTCATAAATCGCGCTTGGCTTAGGTTGGGGTACCCCAATGTGATAGTCATATGGGTATGGATGAATACCTATTAATACCATTTTTAGGGGGATGAACATCCATTTACCAGCTATTTTGATGTTCACCAGGGGTACAAGGTTTTGACACACTGCCATATCATGATCACATTTTACTACTTTGCTATTGGCTAAGCCCCATCCGAAGCCAATCCTTTGCTGTTGCTTCCGTTGACGCGGTCGTGCGCCGTTGGAAGTCCTGGCAGTCCTGGCAGGCTCGGTGGAAGTTTGAAACGTCATGCTGGGAACCAAAAATGAAGGGGCGCTAAAACAAGAAATATGGGAGTCTTAAACAACCAAAACTACAGATTTACCCTCTGGTAAACGTTTACATAGCTATGGAAAATCACCATTTTCAATGGGAAAATCCACTATAAATCACCATTTTCAATAGCTATTTTGACATAACCAGAGGGTAAGCTGCAAAAATTGGGTTTTGTTAACAACAAAAACGAGGCATTCACCAAGACACATGGAAGATTTACCAGCAAAAGATATGGACTTTGAGCAACAAACAATTTTCGGTACACGGATTGACCGACATACAATGGGCAATCTACAGTAACCAACAAAGTTTAAGCAACCAAAATGTGGAGGTTAACCAGCAAAAATATGAGTTGGGTTAAACCTTGTACCACATGTTATGACCATAAATTCCATCCCTTAACCTCCACACTTAAATGCAACCCATGTGAATGACTTCTATGCTGCGAGTGGTGGCAAAGATCCACTGAGAACTCCAGTTACAACACGGAATTCGGAACTGAGTCATTGGTAATTTAACATACGGTGGGTGGATGTACAAATTCCTGCACCAGTTGGGAACTATTGGAAACTGTGAAACACTGCAAGTAATGGGATTACAACGGGATAAACCAGCTACCAGCTGGTGCAGGATTTCTTCCATCCACAGTAGCTATGGACAATGTCTCATTTAGTTCGATGATTTATCTATCTAAATAATTCTAAATGTTCTTTTTTATTTTTCCCGTGGCTATGTTGAGTTCCCCGAGGGTAAGTCATTGGTATTTCCCCAAGACATCGGCTAAGTGCCAACACTGGCAGCACAGGAAATCACAGCAACTTCAGCGTCGGGAAATTCACTGAAAACTGGGCGAACATGCATTGCCAGGTGGCTATGGCGTCTATCTGTTCAAATTGGGGCATGCATGACCCGCAAAACTGGTCATTTTTGGTCGTCAACCATTGATTTTACAAATTGAGGGGGTTGATCATTTTGAGCCAGACCAAACTTAAATTCTGCAGTGTGTAGCACCACTCTATAAACCTTTTGCGCTGTCGCTTTGTGTTTTCCTAACCTCAGATCCGCATGTTCGCATCGGGCAAACCAATGCAACATTACCGCATGTTGCGACCTGAGTACCCCTCCTATGATTGTACAGGACAGTGGGAACTCCCACCATGTCAATTATCATCGCGTATATGGTAAGTCTACCAATGCCAATCACTATATCAACATATCTATAATGTAAATCATCAATCTGCCTATGAAGGAGGGGTGTTTAAGTATGTTCTGGGATTTGCCTTTAAGAGTTCCCACCTCCACCATGGAACAAAACAATATGCGCACGTGTTCGAAACAAATCATCGGGCAGAAAAAGTGAAGCATCCAATAGGTGTTGCGACGTGATCTTCGCGGCCTCTGTTCCTTTATTCCATCCATGTTCTTTTCCCTCCTCAGCGCACACAGAACAGCAATACACCAGGAGTCCGCTTACCCTCTGATGGGGGTATCATCCGACTTGGGAACTGATTCATCACCAAGGTTGGCAAGTCCCCTATCAGCCCTCCACGAAGAGTGCGGGAAATATGGAAAATTTGGATGAACACGGGGAGTTTTGGATATCCTATTTGAAAAGGGATTTGAACTGTACATACTGATTAGTTCCTCAGTCGGACAATTCTCATTGCTGCTTGGACAGCCTATGATGTTTGCAGCAGAGAACTTACTATTGATGGAAATATGTTCTGTACTATGTATGGATGTATACATACACCTATAAACGTGTGCATGTGTATGAGTATGTTGATATATATATATATATATATGTATGTGTGTGTGTCGTCTGTATATATATATACTGTATATATATATATATATATACAAACATAATGCATCTATCTATAGATAGTACACACTCATATGTATGTATGTATGTATGTATGTATGTATGTATGTATATATATATGTATATATCTATATATGTATATATATATATGTATATATAAGTATGTATATATATGTATATACATATATGTATATATGTATGTATATATATATGTACATATATATATATGTATATGTATATATATATATATGTATACATACTTATATATATATATGTATACATACTTATATACGTATATATATATATGTATATACAGACTTATATATATATACATACTTATATATATATATATGTATATGTATATATATATACACATTACATATTGGAGAATATGCCATTGTATTCCAGCATATTCGATCATCATATTCCACCACTTACAGTAGCTTCGAGTAATTTCACCTGGCCATGTTAAGTTACTTCGGATTCCTCAGCGTCATCTTTCCACCCATGGATGGAATGGTCGTAAGGAAGACACAAAGCCCACTGGAGATGGTATTGTAAACGGGTTCCATGTGAAATTTTTGGGTGAAAAGAATCATGAGAACCCATCTTTCCCCATTTCATTCAAGATCACCAGGTTGTAAATATCAGAAAATCTAGCAAATCATCTGAAAAAAAACATCCCTGGAAATACATGGAAATACTGTATATGGGAATATCGCGTTGTAATTATATAATGGCTCAAATGTAGAATGTAGCTGTCAAGTTTGCTTCCTGGACTGGCTTGTGAGATCAAGCAGAATGGGGTACATTATGGTAAGTACTTACTGGTGCTTAGTAGGGAATGGATGGGAATTGAGGAATGGGATTATTATTAATAGTTATTATGGATCATTCCCTCATTCCCTACTAAGCACCAGTAAGTCATTGCAAACAAAAACACCACCACATGGCACCATGTGGTGAATAATCGACTTCAGGACTGCTGAAAACATGCAATGTAACCTTTGTTACCGACAGGTCAAAAGCGCACAGTGGTTGCACATCCTGAGGGTCAATCTTGTTGGTGCTGAACGTATGGGGGTTGCTGCGATGATCGTTGATACTCATTATGGACTGGTTGGTGGTTAAAAAAACAATCTTGACAAATATGAGTTCGTCAATGGGAAGGATTATCCCATATAGAAAAAAACAATGTTCCAAACCAACCAGTGGATCATTATGGGTCATTCCGTTCCCCCAATCCCTACGTTCAGCACCAGCAAGCTTTGTGCACCAATCCCAACAGCCCGACCTCGGTCATCGGTACAGTGCACCAAGCGGGGGCCTGCCGCGTTGCCCGGCAATGCTTTTGGACAACGTCTACATTGTTACATGCACTTGGGAACACTGCTCCCGCCCAAAAACACAAAACACTAAGTGCCTGTGGATGACACTGTAGTGTTTCTGATTTATGGTGATTTGTTATCCTTCAGCATCTTGTGTCACATCGCATTCTGTCAGTGCTTTGCGTTGCTTTACTTCTCTGCCTTTCTTTCCTAATGTTTGCATTTCTTAGCTTGAATCTCCACTCGCACCACAAGTCTTTTTGCTCGTCCAACTCTCACTCAGGGAGAAAAGCCATGGACAGAACACAACAGAATATACCCAGGTGCTGTGATTTGGCTTGTGGAGGTTGTGTTGCAGTGGACGGGATAGGCTTAGTGTAGATGACTCCGAATTGTACATATGTCCTCAAGGTCCAATCTGCACAGAGCCTAAACAGCGCGGACTAAATTGATTACAGAGACCAGGGCTCTTGCCGGCCCTTCCCAACATTCCCACTCCGGCATAAAATGCAACAAAAGATCAATGAACCATTAACACCGGCAGTGTACAATATGTGTATATACATATAGTGAGATGGAACCATGTTTGGCCTGGTTTTCCTACTAAATTGCCGGTAGCTGTTGATGTTCATGTCCCAAATACAGTAGATGTATCGCAGTTGTTTGTCTTGTCAAATTATAAGCGTTCGGCTTGTGTCGCATTTCAGCCGCTTTGATCTTCTTGGGGTACAGCTAGGCATAAGAATCAGGGGTCGGCTATGGCACGTTGAAAGCAAAGACTCTTCCACTTTTGCAAGTTTGACCGCCAATCAATCTCTGCTCATAGAAACATATCATATCTCTTTACTGATGGTATTTTGGGGCAAAAACCACCCATGGAAGTTGGAACGGTCAGAATGGCGCTATGGGTCAAGTCAGCGGGGGGTAACAATGGAGCCTCATCGTAGTTTAATATTTAGTAGATGTCAATAGTTACGATTTAATTTAAATGATACGTTCATCATAGTCCTTCTTATCTGGTCCAATAATCTTGACTCATACTTGATCTACAGTACCTCCTGCAGTTCTCTATCCAAATACCGCATCTGGGCTACTCCCTTCTGGACCCGTCCCTCAACAGCAGGCCTCATTCGTTTGTGATTCCATTTGCCCATTTCGATGTTCAGTCATCCCTTCCATTGGTTGATTCCACCAACAGAAGGCCTGCAGCAACTCGTATTTGACTCCTTGACTCATTGTCTACAAGCGGACGAGTGACATGTTGGAAAGCATTTAAGCCCCTTCCTAACACAGATACGAACAAAGAAACGCCTCCGGGGAATGCAGGGGATATGTTCAAGGGTCACCTAGACACAGTAGTACATATGTCGCTGATAAAATAGTGATCTGTTATACTTCAGCATCTTTTGTGACGATTTCGCCAGTGCTTCACCTGTTTTTTAAGGGTCTTTATCTCCGTCTGTTTCTATGTCCCAGCTTGAATGTTTAGATTGAATGTTGGCCTTCAAGTCTAGCTACTCCTCTGCCTCCACTCAGGCAAGCTAAAGCAATGGACAGAACAGAATATATCCAGACACGGTGATGTGGCTGTTAGAGGTTGTTTTGCAGTAGGCTGAGTGTTGAATATCACTGTCCGATTGTATTTTCCATGTATATCCAGGTATTCTATGTATTTTGCAGGGCCAACGACATGGTGATATGGTTGGAACTTTGTAACCGCAAATTTTCTACTTCCAGGATGGGATGGCACAGTGGCAGGCTCAGGGATTATCATTCCAATATCCAGTACTTTCTGCAGTTCTTAATCCAAACACCACATCTTGGATCTCTGGAAACTAACTGGTTGGTGGTTGAGCCACCCCTCTAAAAAATATTAGTCAGTTGGGATGATTATTCCCAATATATGGAAAATTAAAAAATGTTCCAAACCACCAACCAGCTAAATATACTCTGGGGTACGCCCGCAGTTGTTGAAATGCACTGGCTGCTCATGACAAATTACTTGCACTACCAATTCTCATGTGGTTGAGCGGTTCGGATAAACATCTAATCTAGGGCCAAACCTTTCCGGACCCGTCCCTCAACAGCAGGCCTCATTCGTTTGTGATTCCATTTGCCCATTTCCATGTTCAGTCATCCCTTCCACTGGTTGATTGCACCAACGGAAGGCCTGCAGCAATTCGTCGTCTCAAAACACATAGCAGAGTGATACTTCTGGACAGTCATTAGCCACTTCGGAACACTGTTGCTGCCCAAAAACGTTGCAGTTTACATGAATGTGTGCATATGTTATATAATTATATATATATATAATTATATATATAATTATATATATATTATACACACACTCTTTTTGTGTGTTCTTGTGTGTTTGTGTGTGCGTCTGTATGACACTATAAAATATAGCAGATATGTATGTTGGTTTGCTGTGATTTGTCATCCCTCCGCACCTTATGTGACACTGGATTCTGTTAATGCTTTCTACCTGTATCTCCTAATGATGTATTTCTTGACTTGAACCCTGACCTACTGGTGTACGTACTTGTCGGCCTCCCACTCAGGCAGCAACGAGGAATGGATGCAATATGACAAAATTTTGTTGCCATTTGTCTTGCAAAGGTTGAGTAATTGTGAGGCTTGGTCTTTGATAGCTGTATTTGTATATGTCTCCTCCTAATTTTCTACAACAATTCACCTGAAAGAATGCCATGTGGGGATGATTGCCCTGACGAAGAAAATCATCAAAATCGGTGACGATGACATCGATCCACCTGAATCAGCAGTGCCCACAACCGCCGTTCCCTTTTTTGCTGGTGGATTGGACTTCCATATCGGATGAGTACACAATCCCAATTAAACCAATTAGTATAACCCCAAACAATGTTGACCAAACATTGAGGGTAGATGAGGATAGTGTCAGTGATATATATATATATATTATTATATAGTTGCAGTTACAATCAAGACATCAGATTACGACATCTTTAGACTACATACCTCCATCTTGCTGTTCAAAAACCATTTCGCATCCTGACAGCTTATAAACCATGTTATTTTTCCATCACCATGGACGTATTCAACCCACTTCGGTCCCAGCCTCTGCAGCATTCGAGTCGCTTCTGTCCTGTCAATATCCAAATGCAGGGGCCCCAAACGACAAGTAAGTTGTTTTTCACTGGGCCAACTAGGATTTATGGTGGAAATATCTATAGTCAAATGGGGTTATAAAACCAACAAACATAACTTCTGAGGCCCTTTCCGTGGGATGACTTTGGGATTCAACATATCACCTGAATCGATGCTTGTTGGTTTGGTAGTTCCCATATGTAACTCTAGTGGTCATGTTCAAATGGGACCATGGATCACCACCCCTGGTGTGGCTGAATTCTGTGTCACAATTCACCAACCTGACATCTTCAGCCAATTTGACCATGATTTGTCTAATCCTAACCATCATTTATCTTGAATATGTTTCCCATGTTATCGAAATGTTATCAGAATATTAATTATCAGATTTCGTACATATATACATATCTACCTATATATATATAATGTACTGGTATCTATTCAATTTATATGTAGGGATCGATGATCCAAGATCAATCCTTTTCAGATCTTCCAGTCATGGGAAGTCATTGGTGTATGACTCAGGTGGTGTCCCATAGCTTTTTAAGTTGGTTTATGACTAACATAACCGACGGAAATGAGGGACAATTAGCATGTAACCAACAAAAAGGGGGATTGATAGTTGATTTCTGATAGGTAAATTGGTTTATGACTAGGCAAACTGTTGGGTTTATAGTAGATATACCAAACCAGCTGATGGGGGTTTATTATTCTCGAATATTCTCCAACTAAGAGAGGAATGGGGCACCACTTTGTAGCAATGGGCAAAATGTCTCAGGATAATCTTGACCCATCTCCACTTTGGTGCATGGTGGGATTTGTCCGGAAACGTGGGGGTAAAATGAACAAAAACTACGGCCATATTTGATATGGAGAATAATGACGAATCCTGGTTGCTGGTGTCAACCCGCCTGAGAAATCATATCAAATTGTAGTTCGGAATCACCATCCCATAACAACCAGAATCATTGCACTTGGGGTAGCCAATTGTTGGAGAAAGTGGAGTTGAACTGCTGAGCAAGTGGAAACCAACCTGTGCCAAATCACGTATTTCTGGAACAAAACATATTGGGAATGGGAACATCAATTTACATCAATTTACTGTCAACCTTCACGATGAATTCTTATGGGAGTAGTGAACCAGGCAACATAGGAATTACATGTGCTTAAATGATCCCCCTTGCAATTCAGTGTGAAGGTCGCACCCCCTGATTCTGTAAGTACAAAGCTGGGGCCTGACCCTCAGACAGGGATACCCATCATTACAAAATCAAAGGTACCAGACCTTTCCAAGCATGGTTATCATTACAAAATCAAGACTGAACATGTATTTTTACAGAGCAGTTAACCCCCTAATTCAAGGCAACAAAAATTAAAATCATACCAAAATCATAAAATTTGGTACCAAAAACACCCTTTGATTTTGTAATGGGCCTGATTTTATAAGGATTCAGGTCTGGTCTTTCCCCCTATACCCCCAGGGTTTGATTTCATAATGTGCCATGATTTTATAAGGTTTTTAGAGTAATTTTGTCAAAACGGCGAGTATCAAAACCCATGTTGTGGATATGGAACATTTATTCAAAATATTTCAAAATTACTCAAATATAATACAGCATAAAATCACCTTATAAAATCAAACCTTACCATGGAAACAAATTAGAAACATATGGATACTTACAAAATCAACCCCAGTTGTGTAAAATTGGCTCAAAAATCTCTCCAAAATTTGTAAAAATGGGACCATTTTGGCACCCCCCCCAGGGGGTCTGGTACCCTTACACAATCAAGACCATCCATCTTGCCATATGTCCACCTATCTTCGATAATGATGTTATACCCTTCATCCTTAGGGGTTAGGATATGATTTTGTAAGGTGGGTTCCTTACAAAATCAAAGGTTAAAAACCCTATGTACTGGGGGTCCGACCCCCATGATATTGTAAGGGAAATTGCAATGGGGATCTTAAATGTACCCTCTAGGAATAAAATGTTGCAATTGAACATCTCTGTAAATCTAGGTCTAGGTTTTTATGGGAAAATCATCTATAAATAGGCATTTCCATTGCCATGTTTGATTACAGGAGGGTAGTTTCCCTTTCCGAATGCTGCTGTTCCATGCTACAACTTGGCGAAGTGGCCGAGAGAACTTCCAGAGAAGCTGGCCAAGCTTATGCTAGATGTATTTATGGTTGCGGGGGGTTGTTAACCAAGTAATAACGATATATATCCGGGGGAGGGCACCTTGTACCATCAAAAAATCAAGCGTGGCAATGGAAAATACCCGATTTGTAGATAAGCTTCCCAGCTATAGACCTCCAAATTTAGTGCGGGGATTTTCCAGCCCGTCCGGATGGTAAATCCTCTTATTATCCCAATGATTATCCTGCATCCCAATTAGTTCCCTAGTAAATCCCCATTTTTCAAGCTTAGTAAATCCCCATTTTTCGAAAATCCATCCAGAAATCCCCAATTCCCCAGATCATTCAGCTATATTCAGCTTGCACCCCCGCCAGGCCTTCTTTGCATCAGTCTCCGCCCAGTCCTGGCCACAGTAACCCAAAATGGTCGTCTAACCTCTGGTTATGACTAACATAGCCATTGAAAATGGCCATAGAAATAGTGAATTTTCCCATTAAACATGGTGATTTTCCATAGTTATGTAAACGTTTACCAGAGGGTAAATAATGTTAGGTTCGTGAATTGTCATCATTTATAGAGAATTATTATCAATAATATGGTAACGCCAATCATAAACCATCCCTAATACCAAATATGGGTGGTATCAGCCCTCCAGAAATGGAGATTTATTATTGAGTTTGCCACATGAATGAGATAAACCATGATAAAGCAAATAATATGGGAAAACATTCGGATAACTATGGTATATGTGAAAGTTAGATGTATATAGTTTATATACATACAAATTCATACACATGATGACTAGCACTGTTCATGGATATTAAAATCACGGAGTTATGTCATCAAATTGGGATATTCCATTTATTCCATTGGGTCATTGGATATTTTATGGATCATTGGGATATTCATCATCAATTATTATTTGGATCATTGGATATATGATATATGGCATAGATAAGTGATAATGCAGTGGATAAAAAATGATCCTAAAATAATAATCCAATGACCCAATGCCATATATCAATGATTATTTGGATATATGGCATATATGGCATAGACTAAGACGAATTCTTAGGGTCAATTAGAGTCAATGCAAATCCAATGGTCCCAATGGTCCCAATGCCAATATCACCAGATTCACCAGTGGAGTCCCATTGGGATACGTAGGGATACGTCGGATACTTGACCTGGAATCGTGTGGGTCTGATATCCACAACAACATGGAATAATATGGAATAACAAGAATTTATTGATATTTATTGCATCATCTGGACGAACCATCATTTGTCACCAATCTGAAGGAAAGATATATATATATATATACAGTCGTTTTGGCATGTTGTTTTGGGTCATTCCCCGTAATAATGATAATCAACCAACCAAAACTATTGTACCAGAATCAAATGGATTTGAAGCTCCCTGAATCCCCTTGGCATGTTTTCCAGAATGAGGTGAGGAAGGGTTCCACAGGCATTCGTCTGTAATTTCGAACCCCACAGGCTGAGGACATTTCACGGGGAAGTTGGATCACCTTTATGAGGAGAACAAGATGACGAGTTGGTGGTTTCAGCCCCGAAACGTGAATAGTGTGAACAGTGGATAGTCATCGGTAGGAACAGAGAGTTTGGTTGGTAAACTACCCGGTTTGTTGCCGAAATCACCAACCAAGTGGGACAAGTAATTATCTACATTCTGGTGGCTTATTTGTCGATTAGTTTTCTCATTTTGCTCCCAGGTTCTTCTTCCAAATCCCTTTGAATCCACTTTTACAATGTAGCCTCCCCCAAGCGAAAGCTAAGTTGGTAGATACAACTTTGCTAACTTGGAAGAGTTTATGGTAGATGTATGGAACTGGCTACATGGGTTAACATAAACCGACTTGGGTCTTTCATTTTTCCAAACAAAAGTGGCGAATGTTCCAAACATTATCACATTGTTCGTTGTAAGTGTATATATAATACATGTATATATATAATTATATATACATACACACTGTTGTATCCCCATGGTTGTCTTATGCGTATATATATTTATATTATATATATATACATGACATATGTATATATCTCCCCATTCTGTCCAATCTTTTGTTAATTCACCATGTTTCGGTGAAACTCCACGAAGTCTGCCTCGGTTCCAGGTCGCCGGACATATGTCGCAGCCTTGGCTGAGACATCTTCCGATGCGAAAGATGGCTCCAGCCACTCAGAATGCCCTTCCTCCGCGGAGCACGAAGCAAGGGGGTGAAAATGGGAACCGGAGATACAGAGCAAGGGTGCTTTTGCGATGGCAAAGGACAGTCAAGGAATAATGACTTTTGCATTTGTTGTTTTGATATAGATAGCAAAGGTTGGAAAAAACTGTCTACCATCCTCATCTGATACTCCATAAAATTCTGTAACGGTATGCACATTTTGAAGACAATACAACACCTGTGAATGAATCATGAAATTCTTATTTTTTGTTGTTTTGATAGATGCCTAGACTCTCAATTCATTCATAAAATTGGTGTGTCCCTTATAGTTTTAGCACTTTTACCAATTTTCAGGTGTCAAGTCAGGGTAAAGGTATGCATTGTTTGAAAGCATCCCTGTTTTGGGTAGATAAGTCTGAGCCATTCACACGTGTCAGTGCTGCGAACTATAGTAGATTATGCTTCCAAGCCGCCTGCGTATATACATGAAAACTGCCGTGCAACTTGCAAACCATGAATACCAACTAATGACAACATGACACAATCATCCGCGTCCAATCGATTATTGCTGCATATTGCTGATGTCAATGTTGCGTTGTCATTGACTGCTTCTGAGCAAAATGGATGCTTCGTCCACAGCTCCAACTTCGAATTGAAACTTTGCAAAACTGAGGGATGCTTCTGCGAGCTTCTGAAAAACTGATTGTGAGGACAGTTTCAAACATCCCATCAAATGTTTGCATTTACTAATGGGGGCTATAATGATGGACCACATCCACTGGTGCCTCCATTGACAACCTTTGACGCATCGTGTCTCTGTAGACAACTTCTACGGAGCTTGTCCCGGGCTTTGGACGAAGCTTCTACAACCATGGCCAAATATCCACGGACAATCGCCCATTTGTAGAGGTACCTACAAAAACGATGTATTTTTGAATGCCAAGTTACCATCTGGCTATTTAACATAGCCATGGAAAATCACCTTTTTAATGGGTAATTCATCTATAAATGGGCCATTTTCCATGGCTATGTTAAATAACCAGAGGGTAGATCATACCAAAGGGGTACTTATTCAGAAAATTACCAGGAAGAACACCAGTCAATCTGGGTCATCTCCTCAAATCAGGAACAACAAAAACATATTTGAAATCACCAACCAGCGACTTATTGGCTACCTAGTAAGATCAAGTTATCAAGTTGGGGTTGGTAAAAGCCCCCTTTATTGTTGGAACTACCAAGCCATACCCTCTGGTAAACATACAAAAAGCTATTGAAAATGGCCCAGTCTATAGAACGTGGATTTACCCATTAATAACTATGGTGATTTTCCCATCAGTTTTTTGTATGTTTACCAGAAGTATCTCCCGATAAATCACCATATTTCCAATATTCTTCCAATAAATCACCTAATATTTCCCATATTTTTCCAATAAATCACCAAATTTTCCATAGTTTAACGTTAGTTTACCAGGCCGGGTACCGTAACTGCCAGCGAAATCTTTTCAGAGTGTCCCTTATCCCTCCAAACTTTGGCATGCTGCGCCTCTCCATTCATCGCCTCAGCCGGTTCCTGCGCGTTGTTCGAAGCGGCTGGTTTTTATTTTTATTTTTATGTATGGTTATTATATGGTTAATTATCTGACATGGATAATGATGGTTAATGAAACGGTTAATGAAACGGTTGATGAAACGGTTAATGAAACGGTGAGTGAAACGGTTAATGAAACGGTTAATTATATGTACCAGCCAGTCTAGTCTAGAGATTATCTGATTGGTGGTGCAATGTGCCCATCTTGAAAAATGATGGACTTCGTCAATGGGTGTCGGATGACATCCCATATATGAAATGGAAAATAAAATAAACATGTTTGAAACCACCAACCAGTTATGTTTGTCAGTTTATTAACCAACTATACTAATTTCATCACCACAATCCCAACAGTCATATAGCCCAACTTTAGTACTAAAGATGTATGCATATTGATATCATATTGTCTAGCATTAACAGCAGAGTTCACATAGTTGTAGACCAACTTAGCAAACATTTTGGGGCACCTTATGCCAATGCAGCCAACAAAAGCATTCAACTGTTGGCTCTTCCAAATAGTATAGGGTTCAGAGTATTAGTTTTTGTTTTTCCCACAGGTTTTCGATTTTTGTTTGCTTTCTTTCCTGGTACCATTTGCCTTGTATTTGCAACAGATTAGAACTAGAATCTGTCATTTTGCATGGTATTTGCTACATTGTGGCATGGTTACTTTGCATTTTGCATGGTATTTGCTGCATTTGGCCATGTTTGCCTTCCATTTTGCATGGTATTTGCCACGATTTGGCACTTCAACATCTCATTTGCATGGTATTTGCTACATTTTGGTACTTCAAACATTCATGTGGTTTCTTGAGAGTTTCTTTAGGCTTTCATTAAGGGTTTCATTTAGGCTTCCATTTAAGGTTTCTTTAGAGTTTTATTTGGGGTTTGATTTAAAGATTTCTTATCAGGATTTCTTATCAGGATTTCTTATCAGGATTTCCAAACGTTCATGTGGGATTCTTTGGTGCTTCTTTAGGGTTTCATTTAGGGTTTCTTTATGGTTTCATGTAGGGTTTCTTTAGGGTTTCATTTAGGCTTTCATTTAAGGTTTCTTTAGAGTTTTATTTGGGGTTTCATTTAAAGGTTTCTTATCAGGATTTCCAAACGTTCATGTGGGTTTCTTTGGGGCTTTTTTAGGTTTTCATTTTGGGTTTTTGTAGGGGTTTCATTTCGGGTTTCATTTAGGGTTTCTTTAGGTGTTTCATTTAGGGTTTCATTTAGGGCTTCATTTAAGGTTTCATTTAGGGTTTCTTTCGGGTTTCTTTCGGGTTTCATTTAGGGTTTCTTATCAGGATTTCCAAACGTTCATGTGGGTTTGTTTAGGGCTTCTTTAGAGTTTCATTTAGGGTTTCGTTTAGGGATTCTTTAGAGTTTCATTTAGGGTTTCTTTAGGGTTTCATTTAGGGTTTCTTTAGGGTTTCCTTTAGGGTTTCTTTCGGGTGTCATTTAGGGTTTCATTTAGGGTTTCATTTAGGGTTTGATTTAGGGATTCTCTAGGTTTCATTTAGGGTTTCATTTAAGGTTTCTTTAGGGTTTCATTTAGGGTTTCATTTGAGGTTTCGTTTCATTTAGGGTTTCTTTAGGGTTTCATTTAGGGTTTCTTTAGGGTTTCATTTAGGGTTTCATTTAGGGTTCCATTTAGGTTTCGTTTACGGGTTCTTCAGGGTTTCAGTTAGGGTTTCATTCAAGTCTTTTTAAAGTGTCGTTCAGGGTTTCTTTAGGATGTCATTTAGGGTTTCATTCAAAGTTTCTTTAGGCTAGGGTTTCATTTATGGTTTCTTTAGGGTTAATTTATGGTTTCTTTAGGGTGTCATGTAGGGGTTTCTTCTCAGGAGTTCTTATCAGGATTTCTTTAGGGTTTCTTTGGGTTTCACCTAGGGTCTTTAGGGTTTCATTTAGGATACAAACAGGAGAGAATAAAGCAAAAGAAAAGAAAGAACAAAGAGGCAGTAAAGACAGGAAGCAGAGAGGCAGACAAGCAGGAAGTAGAGCAGCAAAAACACATGACTGAAGAAAAGAAAAAGTAGAATAGTATAAGTAGAAAGGCACAGAAGCACAAAAGCAGAAAAGCAGAGAAGCAGCACAGCAGAAAAGCATAGAACCAGGAACCCCCCAAAAAAACAAAACCTGCCGCGAAAAAAACAAAAATAAATAGCCCTCCATAGTAATTGGGATCTTAGCTATATTTACCCATAAGTAGATGGTTATAGTGCCAGCATGGTTAAATCCACATGACATCGCTGGGATGTTCGCAGCACTTTATTCCTAGGTTCAATTCTCATGGTCAGATTTCTGGTCCATGCACACTGAAGTAATTACCCAATCTGAAACCCATGTTTGGTCGTAAGAAAACAGTAAGCGCTAGAAATATGAGTCAAACCCCAAGAATGGAAATCCAAACTGAACTTCACCCAAAAAACACAGACATGAAACCCTCTTGAATCACAATTGAACTCCCAAAACGACACGTAACTCGTTATAACCCGGAGTGAAAGTCCCACTGAATCGCCCAACAAGAAGATAACATCCTATATCATCCAGTTGCCATTCTATAGATCCAAGCAGTCCATAAAGGTCATAAAAGCATATAGATCCATATAGACCAATATAGATCCATATTAATTTCCCAATGAAACCAGCAAAAATGACTCATTCACCTGCCTCGGCATGAAACCAGTCTCCGGCTGAGGCATCTTCGGTTTCCGTTGAAGAAACCGAAGATCCCTGCAGCGCGGCTTGCATCGCCTCCGGGCGGTGGAACAGCGATGCAAACTTCAACATTCCCAGTTTCCCAAGCTGTGGTAGAATTAAACAATGGAAAAATATGAGAAAATAATAAGAATCAAACAATATCAAACCTCTGGAAGCATATCCACATACAGTATATATTCTCATGAAATTGGCGAAAAGTAACCCGCGAAGCCCAAAAAAATATGACATCCCCGCCATCCGAACTGAAATTCCTTGGGAACTTGGTCAAGATGTAGATCCAACACACCAAACAAATTACTGTATCCGGCAGAAATATGCGCCCTCTGGTAATCTAACATAGCCACGGAACATGTCCATGTCTAATAGATAGTCATCAAGAAATGAATGGGTAATCTTCCATTGCTATGTTCAATTACGAGTGGGTAACAATCGATGTTTGTTTGCTATATCACCATGTTTGCTGGTCAAATCACTATTCTCGCTCAATCGCAGTCAAAATTACCAAAAATCATTCACCAACCTGAAATGTCTGATGATTCTAAGGGCTGGCCAAATTGAAGTATCACTTCTGGATGTCCGGCGAACCCGGCGAGCGAGAATGGGAGTGGATCAATTCTGGAATAGAGTTTGATACCATTTTGTTTCGAAAAAAAAACCCTGCATCTGAAGCTTTCAACTGCTTTTGCTTTTTCGAAAAAACTGTGTGCTTTGATACCCAGGTTCGTTCTTCGATACCCAGGTTTTGATACCCAGGTCTTCTCACTTTTCTATCCATGATCACCGCAGCGCCGCCGGATGATCACCTTCTGATAGCGTATCCATTGCAACCGTGTCTTTTCCTTTGCAGCTTCCTTAGGGATTGGTAAACATAACTGTTGGGTGTACGGTAGATATATCTCTCCACAATTAGAGGGGGGTTAAAATTTAAAACTATACAACTGGGTAAGGATTGGTGGTGAACTATAAAAATAAAACTGCAGAACTGTGGGAAGGCCTAAGGTTTCTCATAACGCCAGCCATGTATGCAAATATGTGGGAGTATATACATATATGTATTCATATTTGTGTCTCTATGTATCTATGTATATGTATATATATATGATTATATATGTATCTATCTATCTACCTATCTATCTATCTATCTATCTATCTATCTATTGGTCTATTCATTCATGAACCTATGCATATGTTCATCAATTCACTTTACATGTATATATATATATATATATTATATCGATACATCTATATATATCTATATCTACACCATTCCACACATATATCTATCTCGCGCTCTCTCTATCTCTCTATCTATCTATCTATCCATCCATCTATCTATCTATCTACCTCTCTATCTCTCCAACCATCTATCTATCTATCTATCTATCTATCTGTCTATCTGTGTATCTGTCTATCTGTCTATCTGTCTATCTGTCTATCTGTCTATCTATCTATCTATCTATCTATATATCTATCTATCTATATGTTTATCTATATGTTTATCTATCTGTTTATCTATCTGTTTATCTATCTGTTTATCTATCTGTTTATCTATATGTTTATCTATCTGTTTATCTATCTGTTTATCTATCTGTTTATCTATCTGTTTATCTATCTAACCCTATCTATCTAATCCTATCTATCTAATCCTATCTATCTAATCCTATCTATCTAATCCTATCTATCTAATCCTATCTATCTAATCCTATCTATCTATCTATCTATCTATCGATCAATATATCTATCTATCGATCTATATCTATATCTATATCTATATCTATATCTATCTATCTATCTATCCATCCATCTATCTATCTATCTCTCTATCTCTCCATCCATCTATCTATCTATCTATCTATCTTTCTTTCTATATCTTTCTCTCTCTATCTATATATCTATCTATATATCTATCTACCTATCTATCTGTCTAGCTGTGTATCTGTCTATCTGTCTATCTGTCTATCTATCTATCTATCTATCTCTATCTATCTATCTATCTATCGATCTATATCTATCTATCTATCTATCTATCTATATGCCTATCTATCTATCTATCTATCTATCTATCTATATCTCTCTATCGATCCATCGATCCATCGATCTATTGATCTAGCTATCTATCTATCGATCTTTATATATGTATCTATCTATCTATCCATCCATCTATCTATCTATCTATCTCCCTTTCTCTTTCTCTTTCTCTCTCTCGCTCTCTCTATTTATCTATCGATCTATCTATTTATCTATATATATCTATCTATCTGTCTATATATCTATCTATCTATATATCTATCTATCTATCTATCTATTTATCTATTTATCTTATATATCGATCGATCTATCGATCGATCGATCTATCTATCTATATATCTATCTATCTATCTATCTATCTATCTATCTATCTATATGCCTATCTATCTATCTGTCTATCTATCTATCTATCTATCTGTCTGTCTATCTATCTACCTGTCTATCTATCTATCTATCTATCTATCTATCTATATTTCTCTATTGATCCATCGATCCATCGATCTATCGATCTAGCTATCTATCTATCGATCTCTATATATATATATATCTATCCATCCATCTATCTATATATATATCTATCCATCCATCTATCTATCTATCTGTCTATCTATCTCTCTATCTATCTATCTACCTTTCTATTTGTCTATCTGTCTATCTGTCTATCTGTCTATCTGTCTATCTGTCTATCTGTCTATCTGTCTATCTGTCTATCTGTCTATCTGTCTATCTATCTATCTATCTATCTATATCGATCCATTGATCCACCGATCCATCCATCGATCGATCGATCTATCTATCGATCTATCTATCTATACAGTATGTATATATATATATATACAGTATATATTTATCTATCTATCTCTCTATCTCTCTCTATCTCTCTCTCTCTCTCGATCTATCTCCCTCTCTCTATCTCTCTCTCTCTCTATATCTATACCTCTATCTACACCTCTATTTCAATTATACTTACCTATCGATCCATCCATTCATCCATTCATCCATCCAACTATTTTTGGGCTAACCAGCCATTAGGTCCCCTACAATACTAAGTGGCTTTTGTACGGAAGTTAACTCATCTGATTTCACCGGCACTTCTTCGCTCCCCCGGTGCTAGTGGCAAACAAGGCGCTGCCCTGGTGGAACTTGTGATGTATTCATGGATAGAGGCAACCAAAAAAAAGGATGTAGCGCATGGTAGTGTGGAAAACAAACAATGGAGATGTCAAGTCAACATGCAAATCCACAACTGCGACTGTTCGCCATGCTTGATAGATCCGTCATCATGCAAACCAGCCAGCAGGGCTGAGCTTCAAATACACCCAAAGATGGGATATCAAATCTTCAAAACCATCTAGTTGCTTTGTGATAATTCACCAATCTGACGTAAGGTTCTGTTCGGTTGATTCCCTCAATAACTCACCCAGAAAGCATGCGTTGTGGCCACTCCTCGATACCCTGCAAATAGAGTTCTTGGCCGGTTCGTAAATAATAGTACCTATAGTGAATGGAAAATCACAGATATAATCAAAATGATAAGAGCTTCATCCATATTTGATCTACTCCCATTTTGCTCAACATGTCCAAGGGCTTTATGTCAGGGCACCCAATTTCGGACCTATGCCCAAAGGCAAAAACTTAAAGTTTCAAAGACTTTTGGAGACCACAGGAATGGTTAAATGGGTTAATGCACTCCAGTGATTTCACTATTAGGGGCAATGTTCAGTTCTCACCTGGTTGTCCGCCACCATGGCAGCCCAGTTGGCAAGTTCCCCGACTTAGGTCCCGGGCCGTCCAGAAGTATTGCATTTTGTTCCACACATAGAATTGCGCATGGTTCATGACGCGTGAGATGGATTCCTGCAGGACGCTGTGCCATATGCTTTGGTGATTTGCGGTGTGATTTAATATTGCCGGGTAAACTGGCAAGATTGCCGGTGATTTAGGCAGCAAACATTGGGAATATCCCCATGAATATTGGAATCTACCAATAGTACATGGGAAAATATAACTAAGAAATTATGGAATATTTGGTGGGATTTGTTTCGTCAACAAATGAGGGTTTTAGCAACAAGAATGTGCGTTGGGTTTGTCCAAGAATTGGGTTTCTTCAATTTACCCCATCTCATTCTACTAGTTGGATCTAGTTGGTGAGTAGGTTTCCCTCCTATGGGCTATCATAATCCCCATGAAACCATGTCATATAGTTCCGTATTTCATAACCTTAAGCAGCCATGGTATTTTCAATAGCTCGATGTGGTAAATCCAGCAGTAGACCATCCCTATTTGGGATGGTGCTTGTTTTGTCATGATTTCTTGGGTGCTCCGCTTTACCACATTAAATAATCTTCTGGTAATGACTAACGTAGCTATTGAAAATTGCCATGAATAGTGGATTTTCCCATTAAAATGGTGATTTTCCATAGCTATGAGGCTATGTTAGTTTACCAGACGGTAATCTTCTGTCCATAACGTGGTGATATAGCCATCAACCAGTGAAAAAAAAAGAGGTTTCAAGGACCAGGTCTAGAGCATGGACCATGGGCTTGCCGTAGAAGGCTTTGGAAATTCATCCTGATTGGTAATTTCAACCGAGCCCAAAAATAGGCATTGGACATCATCAGCCCAAATTGGTTGAAGACAAAGAAAATGAAACCACAAATCAATACTTACCACCAAGTTCTCAAACATGGTTTGCTGGAATTTCCATCATTTAGTTCGATGATCTTCCCAGCTATAAATGGGGATTTTCCATTGGCGTGTTGGCTGACACCGGAGGTACTAACCCATGGTCCATTAATTAATATTGATGAATATTCCATCAGCATCCCATTCATATTCATAAATCTACTAATATCCCAGGCAAACCACATTCATGGAATACAGCAAACCATAGCTAATTTTTGTGATTTTCCCATTCACTATCTAAATCGTGATATTCCCAATATCTATGGTGAATACCCAATGGATTCCTATATCTAATTAGTGATCATTCTCAATATCAGTATCACTACTTGAAACCATACGGAAATCATACCCAATATCTAAACATTTCCAAAAATAAAAGCATACCCATTGGGAATATCCATTCATGGTCACAATAGATATCTAAACATTTCCAATTCCATAAATTCCATAACCAATGGATATTCCATGATCACATACCCATGGTTCCATACAGCAAATAAAAGCACATGTGTGTGATCTTCCCAATAACATCCCAAAAAACAATGGTGTCAAATGCCATGATTTCCCCCAGGCCTGGCTCACGTTGAGCCGTTGCAGGAACTCTTTGTAGGCCATGCTAGGGTTACGAGACCTGGCTCAAGATATCTCGCGGTGTTTTGTTGCTTCAAATCATTGGGCTTGAAGGGAAATCCAAAGTGGACACAATTTGAAGACTAGATGCTTAACTGCTTAATGGAATTGTAGTGAACAAACACGTGGATTATTTTTTACTACCCCTGAAAATGGTTGGTTTGAAGGAATCCGAATAGCTGAACCATCAACTATTAGGATTCACCAGCTTTCACCAGCAACAACTTATCAACTTGGGAGAAATAGAGGTGCGGGTCGTTCAGCATACCAGTCATCATTTTACCTCTTGGTTGTGAAGAAAAGTCAACCCCTCTGTTGATCAACCAACCAATTGGAAAGTTGACACCTGCAACAAGTTGGTCTTAACGAGCAATAATTGTAGGATGGAACCATCAGACACCGGGTTTTACACGAAAATGTTTTTTTTGTTCGATCATTTCTTGGGAAAGGGTTGGTTTAAGGAAAATCGACAGGAAAGAACAGTGAATTTACCAGCCAAATCCACCAATTTTACAGCGTTTCTGCAGATTTTTCCTATGGAACATTTACCGATGAACGGCCATGTGGGGATGGGTCAAGCGGATATACATCGATTTTCATCAAAATGTAAGAGGCATTGAACCATCCCCATATACATCGATTATTTATGTATATATATATATATGTATGCCCAAATACTATCAAATACTAGCCAAGATTTTATGTACCGACCCACTTGTAAGTTGGCTAATAATCACCATTCATCATTATATATCTACCAATAAGCCAGCTTAGCTATCTCTGGAGCGCCACTTTGTAGGGTTGTGTATGAATACATGAACACATAAATAAATAGATAGATAAAATAAACAAAAAACATAAAATATAATAAATAAAGAAATACACGAATAAATGAATAAACCAATAAATAAACAAACAAATATATACAGTCACATATTATGTATACATGTAATACTATGTAACATACAAATCTATCTATCATAAATAAGTCAATATGTCTATATGTTATGTATAAATGTAAATAAATATATATATATATGTTACACAACATATATATATATGTAACAATGTATAACATATAACTATATTTCTCAGGGCCATTCATGATGTTTTCAGATACATACAATTATTATAGGTATAGGGTCACATCAAGTCAAAACTTACTTCACTATTTCCGGCCAAGACCTCATCATTTCTGACAGACTTCCCTCATCTGTATAGATACGTATGTATATAGCAACCCCCATCAAGATCGAACAGGTAAAATGTCACCATTTCAGTAGGATTTCGAGTTTCTATCTTTTTTCGGGGGTTGCTATACACGTCATATCTATGGGTGTGCTTACAAATGGAGTATACACCCATATATAGCAAATTTCCCATCAAAATGATAAACCATTGGATTGGGGGTGACCTTATTTTCCGACAAACCCATATGTATATGTGTATGTATATATTATATAATATTATTTATATATATATATATTATAATAGATATAACATCAATTAACATCACATAGCAAGGATCAGAAAACACCCTCCTGGCCGTGTTTTCCGTCAAAGGCACCATGAGCATCCCTTCAAACTCATGAGAGTTCGCGCAATCCCTTGGCGGTAGAAGGATGTCGAAGGGTAGTATGGGAGGTTTTAGCATCCAAAACGGTGGAATGAACCAATGATGGAAGAACTGGAGATATCATGGGATTAGCCTGCAATAAATGGAGACTTTTAACCACTATATTCACTATATTTAACGCGCAATAGCGATGTGATGGGGATATGTTTTTTCTCCAACACCTTCGCGCCACACGAGCGACCACAGGGTTCAAAGACGACGACCGCTCAGGGTTGTTTGGACTATGGAACGTGAAAGACATGCACTCAATCCGCAGCAGTAAATCTCTTCAAATACAGGTTCTTCATCTTTTCCAACTGGCCTTGGGACAAGCAAATCAGTGCATGGATGTGCCTTTGTGCTGAGCGGGTCTCTGGGTTTGTTCACCTTCGATGAATCGAAGCACCTGGACATCACATATAGTAGTCCAGATATGTGCGCACTCGGACATTGCGTTGTCTCCGGAAGTATTTGGAGCTAACCACACTCCGACTTCGACATCATAGACCCACTTGCACAATCCAGCTTGTGGGCGGCTGTGAGTAGTTCCTGGGTCATGCCACATTGTAGCATGACTTGCAAACAAGCCACTCAACCAGCTAGTCTTCAGAGATATGTCGATTGTGGTGATTGTGATGGGGACATGATATAACCGACAATATGACATGGGATTTGTTTGAGAATCGGCTGGCTAGCTGAAGTCATGGGGAAATCAGGTTTTCCATTACCCCATATTCAGGGGAACAAACCACCAAGAACCTCAACAGGGTGATGATCGATAGAGAATGATACTAACAAGAGAACCACGAGCACATTAAGGTTACAAAAAAATATTAGAGCAGGCATTAGAGTAAGGAAGATCACTATTTTTGAATCTGAAATTAGTAAATCATGGACATACTATGTCCATCAAGAACATGCCAAGATGACCTTGACTTGTTTACCAGGATCATGGCAAGGGTTGACTTCAAAGCTAGGAAGTCTGGTCACTTAAAATGGTCTGGACATGTGTGGAATATGTTCAATGTTCTGAAAGGCAGTTGTTTGAAATACGTTCAATTAAGAATGGTGATTTTCAAATTTTACATTTCTTCTATTTTGGACTCATTATCCCAAAAAAGATCTGAGCCACCCCGCCAAGTAAAAACATCCAACAGGACAAGTACAGTATCGGCAAACATGCCCAACCCCAATCTCTGTTGGTGCATTGCATTTACTATTCTTTCATTTTTCTGGTGGGCTCCTTCTCCTCCCCTGCGGGTCAAATAGTTGTTACACTTCTAGACGAAAATCGTTTCTGCAATACATGAATTCAAGGGAACCTGTTTTTCGACGAAATTTCCAGAGCAAAATGGCTTTTGCATTTTTTTTGTCTAAAGGAACATTTTTTCCAAACATTGTTCAAAGGAAACTAGCTTGAGTAATACGTATCTTCAGTTTTATTTTTCATCTAAAAGGGTGGCAGTGCTTTTTGGAATAAATGTTTAATCACATGTCTTTGAAAGACAAAGGATAATTACTTCTACCATTCCGCATTTTGAAGAAGAAGAAGAAGAACAAAGAAAGAAAGTCATGAAACACGTATTCTGGCTTAACTTGTCAGCCATGTATTTGAGCTTCGACGCATTCATGTTTCCAAGATGTAAATAGACATTATATAGAGATCCATGAGCGTACATTCAAACATCATATGATAAAATCATGCATCAAACATGAAGAACTTCCAGGAACGTGGTAAAATGGGACCCGTATTTGGCTGAATACATATTGGTCCTCAACGCTCGAACCGGAAACTAACTATAAATTTATAGCGATACATAGCAATATATATATATTATATATATATATATGTACTGATATACGTACTGTGTATATATATATATATATAGCTCTACAGAACCAACTCCACCCAAAAAAACTTGGGGACGATCCAACGTTTGGCCCAGCATGTCAGCATGTCGCCCGAGCTGCAGTCAACGTTTCCGCGGATTTGCTCCCCGTCCCGCTTGGCGGTGGCTCTGGTTGCCCCTTAGTGCGGCTCCACGGCTGGAGAATCTCGAGACACAAAGGGTTTCACCTAGCTGTGGGTTGCCACAAACTTCATTCCCTTTAGGTCTTGTGAGGAGTTTCACAATCAAGAAATGATAAAATTGGAAGAACGACATAACCAAACTGGTGATTTTAAGATGATTTTGGCAAAAACCAGGATCTTCTACCAGTATGAGCTGTGACATTGTCATTTGTCATCGGCCATCTTGGTCATCATCACGCCATTCCGTGGGCTGGTTTCATCTGTGTTTGGCCGATGCTTGGGATGATTCCCTGAAAAACATGATCATTTAAGATAAGGTCGGCCAATGAGGAAACGCTTTTCCCTTAAAAAACATCTAAACATATCTCATGGCCCACCCATATGGCCCATATGGCCAATGAGGGCCATCTCATGTTAATCAAATCATCAAAACTATAACCTTTTCCAGCCAACCATTCTAGTCACCAGGAGAAGTGTGGGATCAGTAGGGGGTTTCCAATGGCCTTACCAATGCGAATCGAGGTATGCATCTGAATGAGATGAGGCCGTAGCCTGGGGAATATTCAATTGCACAAGCCTTGATAGTACCTCCAATCTAGCTTAATAAGCCTCACATAATCCTTTGAGAGAGATTCAATTACATAAATTTAGATGTATATAGAATGATTTAGATACTTCAAATGTAGTGAAATTTGGTTTCATCGGAACGTGGGGGAGATAACCAAGTAGATCAATGTACGAATGGGCTCTCTCTCTCTCTCTATCATAAACCTGGAATCCGTCAGTTGAAGAGACTCAGTAACTCAGTAACCATCGCAACGCAAACCTTTGAAGGTGGTCAAACTGCAATTGTATTGTTCACCCTCTGGTAATTTCATATAGCTACGTATGGATAATAGCCCGTTTAGTCCGAGGATTGTGTTCAATTACCAGAGGGTATATGTCTTTACATTTTTTTGATACAGTAAATATTCCGGTTTTTGTCGGCACACCCCATTGTTGTTGGGGTTGATCCCCGTATCTTTTGAATAGAACTATCATGAATTACCTTTGTTTGTGTTGATTTTCCAGGTTGATTCACTTCCCCTTCAATGTCGGGACATCTTCAATTTCATGGCTTCATTCCCAGGTGTCTATGGCTCAAAGGGTACCAAAGGAGCCACACAGTAAATCCATGTTGGCGGAACAGTCTTGAACCATTCCCATTCGGGTGGGAGAGTGCGCGAGACATTTTTGGGGGCTGTACATGTTGATTTCAATTGCGCACATGTTTGATGGTTCCATTTGCACGGGGAAAGAAATGGTTCGCTTTGAAGGGATTCTCAGCTCATGGATGATCCCCGATATATCATGGTATAACAAGTAAAACACAAAACTAATCATCAAGCAACCACAATTTCCGGATAATATCCCCATTTGTGCAAGTTGAAACTCCTATGCAGGATGGCTAAAATTCGCAAAAAACAAATCGACCAACAACAAACATGGTATCCTATTGTACCTTCTATATCTCATGACCTCCCCAGCATATCCCAATCAAAAAATGACACTTTTCCTTATGTCCCCACTTTTTTCTGCTAAATCTCCATTTCTGGTGGTTAAAACCATCAACCATGTCAGCCCCTTGCCCCCGACCACTGCCCAGGTACGGGGCTTGCGCTGAACCAGAATGTCAATTGCTTCTGCAATCTTTTGCAACGACAACATCTGCGGTCAGGGACTGTGTCTTGTTTCTGGAATTATGGTGCCAGTTAGGTGAAATTCTAAAACATAGTTAGTATTGCAGGAACTATCTCGAAAAGGCGTCGCTTTTGCGTGGGGGAATGTAGAAACTGTCCCAAATTCACAATAGTGTGCATCATGAACCTCCAATGAGAGTATTATATGCCCACGCTATCCTATCTTATAATTCTAGATACTGAATAGGTGGAATTACACCAGCAGCAATAAGTAATTGTTGAACCAGATTACGAACCACATTACCTGGCTTGTGGGAAACTAGCGGGGATTCATTATTGTGGAAATCCAAGTTAAACTGTTGTATTTTCCAATTGGGGATTGTTTAGTAGCCCACCAATTTCTGGAATCAGCGTTTAAGTTTTTTATGTTGGATCTTGACACGAAACTGTTTAATTCACGTCCCTTTTCAGATGCCTTAATCATGTTTGAAGTATTTTCCTTTTGGGATCTAATGTTTCAATGCCAAGCATGTTCATTTGAAGGATCTTGTACATAGTTGAACCAAGACACTTCAGAACAGCTTCTGCATCATGCGGAGCCAACATCAAAAGATTGTCCACTAGCCACTAGCTATTTCTAATATCAAAAGATGTCAAACACTTATCCATTCAAAAATCAATGTCCTTTATGCCAGTCCATCATTCGGGAAAAAGGGTAGGCTAATGAGATAAGGCCTGGCCTATCCTCCATCATCCCAACCAGCAATAGAGCAGCCAGGAGAATAGGCAAGCCCCTAATATCACAACACATACAAATTCTTTGAACATAAGTCTTACAGCTTAAACAAGGATGTTACACTACATCAGTGTCGGAATACTTCATTGAACGTGTTGTGGGGTAATGTCTTTGAAGAAATGTCATGAAGAGTGTCTGTGTTTTTTTCCAGTTCTATCAGTTCACTCATTAAAACATATGTTTCTTTTGGGTTTGGTTCTGTTATTGTTGGTTCGCCGTCATTTCTTGAGGTATTGATCTATGTCGTTTTGAATCTATTCCTTTTTGCCATCTGTTTAATCTCCATATTGATCCATATTGCGAATACGGTATACGGCAATGGGTTGTAGGATACAAAATCATGTTTCTTATGCCTTTTTTCTTTTCCGTTTCCTTCCCTCTTCTCATAGCTTTCAGCATCAGTCTTCGCAAAAGCAGTCTTGTTGAGCTCTTTGCCTTTGACATCACAGCGGCTGCGAGAAATTGCGAGCTTCTCTGATTTTGTCTGAACGTAGGAGAATCTCCGCCCTGACATACTTGGACACAAGCGCACGCTCATCCATCCTCTCTGCAGACCATGTTTTCCTTCTCTTGCGGGATATGATGGATACCATATGATAGCATCTTTCAGGGGATGAATATCCATTTATTATTAGCAATGTTGAAGTTCGCAAAGGTACCGTGGTGTTGATATCTGTTGATCCATTTTCCGATATCTTCTAGTCCTCAATCCATGGCTAAAAAGGACCACCTGGCTCAAACCAATGCCTTGGAATCGTCGAAGTTTTCCCTGATCCACCTCCCAGCACTTACATCTGGTGAAATTTTGGAATAGTGTGGTCAACTCAATTATACACCATCCCCACTGTTATTCTAATAGATGGTTGGGAAGAAACGAAAACAATATCCCCAAATGGTAGGTTCATGGCCTTGGGTTTGCCACATTCCTTCACCCAAGACAAGGGCCCATAGCGAGATCATGACCAACGATGACGGGTGAAAACACAGGTGTCTTTGCTCAAACATCAATTTGTCCACTTAGACTTCAAAATGTTGTCCAGGTGAAATCCCATGTTCCCAAGCGAATTCAAGCTCTGAGGTCACCCCCGAAACAAGTAAGGCCTTTTGTTTCGCGGCCTTAATAACCCCTCATCTACCCCTAATGAGGCTGGCCCATGAAGCCCCTGTTGTGCGGGGGGAACCGACATCTTTAATATTAAACTTAGGTCCTCTCCCAATATACAAACGGATGAGTTTCTATTGCCATGTTTGATTAGGAAAGCATGACATCATGATGTTATTGATCCAACCTCCATTGTAATGTGCAAATACTCAGGTTTGGTCAGCTCAATCCCCAAGTTTGTTTGCTAAATTTGCATTAAGTAAAATCCCCAAACATAAACAAACGACAAATGGTGCATTTCTATGATAGGCCACACCTCCCCTGGCCATACCTCCCACGGCCTGTAAGCACTGGAACTCCCGCACAGCCCGCACGTATTTTGGACGGTAGCGCTCCAGCATCTGAGGGGAAAATCGACAGTTTTGGTCATCTGCCGGGTGGTTTTCTTGCGACAATCCACGGTTGAAGGGTGTTAAGGCTGGATGAAACTCTACATTTGGAGACGTGCATGGCGGCTCGGGTTTTTCAATTTTATTCTCCCATTGTGTGATTCCTCGCTCAAAATTCTACAACATCTCTTGGAAGTTAAGCAACACACATGTAAAAAAAACAACCAAAAGAGGTATACTTGGAGCAAAACTTCGGGATTCACACGTGTTTTATTGTCAAAAACTGAAAAATGACCAACAGAATTTGCAGTTTCACCTGCATAAATGGGTCACCAGCCAAGGTTCAAAAACTACTTTTTGGAACGATCCTCCAAGAAGGGGGGTCCTGGCCATTCGTCTGAAATAAGATCATTCTTTGGGGTGTGTGCCCTTACCAACTATTATCATCTATTATAATTTACATCATTGAAATCTAGGGTGAGGTCGAGACATGAGTCATGATATTCAATGGAATCATTTTGGAAGTTAAACCCGAGTCCCATGATATTCCAGTTCTGTTTCAGGTGTTTGCCCCTGCCTACTAGCCAAGTAATCAATAACATCAAGTGCATCATTCCGGTACCCCTGCCGAAGTAAGACCGTGGTATCGTGGTAATGTTTGAAAGTCGGTCTAAAACAAACGTCAAATAAAGGTATAATCCCATCATCCTAACATTAAACACCCCCCTAAATGGTCTCATCTATGTGTAAATCCCCTTCTAAACCATGTCTTCTGGGTGGTGTTTAATCTTAGGGAGATAGGATCAGTTGAAAACACTCATTTTTTGCGTCAACCTTGTCACTACTGAGTACCCTGTTAGCCACCAGCCACCACCAGCCCCAGGGCCCCCCCTCTTTACCCATAGTGTGAATTGGTGGAAGGCAATAACCCACGCATATCCAAACTATATGTGTATGTGTATATATATATATATTATATTATATATATATACATACATACATACATACATACATACATACATACATACATACATACATACATACATACATACATACATACATACATACATACATACATACATACATGTATATACATGTATATATGTTGAATGTATGTGCGTACGTACGTAGGTAGGTATGTGTGTGTATGTATGTATGTATGTAAGTAATGCTGGAATGGATAGAACATATGGAAATGTCAAACAGCTCACTAATTGGGAGCTATGTTCTAACATCCTATATACTATCTACTTCGGGGGATTATACATGGATATTCCCCACAACAAACACATGCCAAATACTCATCAACCAACAATGGCTAGATGTTTTATCATAATTCCAAAACATGATATTATTAATGGATTCCCAACTATTACGGTTATCATCATTTATGGGGCTTGCTTAGCTTGGTTGCCTTCCCCATCTTTGGCTACAAGTACTGGGAATCTCAATGGTTGGCCATGGAGGTCACTATGCTTGGCTTTACTTAAGATTCATCTCAATTGACTTGGGTAACATCAACGTGAGTCCCATTGCAATTCGCGAGTGTTGTTCTTCAATCCTATACTGCTTCGTTGAGTGGATTCACAATTCACGGGTTTATCCATAGTCGCAAGTTTCAGGGAACATTCCAATGGGCTGAGATCTCATTGTTGGGTTGATATCCAATGTTTGTTTTGAAAATTTCAGTGCAACTGACCAGCATGTTAAGTCCAGTGCACTTTGCCAGGATTGTCCCCCTACATCCACCATGATTTCTTGGGAGCATTTAATATTAGGATCCCATAAAATCTCATGTAATTCCTGCAACATATTCCTAAATCCGACAGTCCTGCACCCACAACTGCCAAGCCGATAGCACCGCAAGCCGAACACGGGTCTCCGGACAGGAATCAAAGCCTGGCTTGGGATTCAAATGGGCTGATGGGGGAACAGCATGACCTTAGAAATCTGCATTCAACCAGTAAAACATGCAGGTGTGAAGTGTAAAGCAAGGAGAGCAAATGAACTAGAACAAAAGTACTTAAATACACAAATGCGGGCTCAACCAGCAAACACATTGGATTTGATGGGAATACAATTGTACAGGAAACACTGCGAAAGAAACGCGTTAGCAGGAACATATGTGATTAACCAGCAAAACCTGAGAATCAATGCAAAAAAAAACATAGATGAGGGGTTGCACGATCGGTTGCACCAGCAAACATGAGAGGTCCATAACCAGCCAAACAAAATTCATATGATCATGACATGATGGCAGACATTCTATTGCTATGTTGGTCTACCAACTAGCATTGTTTCGAAAACCTGAGACTTGCTGATATTTTGTTTTCAGCAAAATAATGTAATATAATATAATATAATGCTATGTATAATGCTTTTGGCATTTTATTACAACCCTTTTCAAAAACCTGAGACTTGCTGATACTTTGGCATTTTTCAGCACAGGGATGACCGAAATCAACCATTCAATGTTTTGGTTGCTGTCAACCATTCAATGGATCCCATAGATCTTGAAGCCGAAGAATCAACATTCCGTGGTTCCTTCGCTCCAAACGGAGCTTTGAAAATTGATTCTGAATCCATGGCTCCGAACTATAGGAACCACATACAGTAATATGTACCTGTATATGTATACATGCACTTAAAATAAATGCAAAACACCATATATGAAATAGATATACAGACCTCTATTTATGCTGATTAAAAAGACTGTACTTCTGCAATTTGTTCTCTTGAATCAAGAACTGTTGTCCAGTACTCCAGTGGTTTCACTGAAACAGTTGGGTAAGACTGGTTGGCCGGTATACAAGGATTCCATGCAGTATATATATATATTAATGGGTGTATACTCATCAATACATGCAATATAATATAATATAATATCATATCATATCATATAATATAAAACAAAATATAATATAATAAATTACTTTACTTCGTGTGATCCCCACCATGACATTTATACATTTTCTTACTGGCAAATCTTCTGGCATTCTATCTGACATATCTTCTGACATTCTATTTGGCATTCTATCTGGCATATCTTCTGGCATATGATCTGGCATATCTTCTGGCATATCTTCTGGCCATTCTATCTGGCATATCTTCTGGCACTCTATCTGACATATCTTCTGGCATCTGGCTATCTGGTGACATATCTTCTGGCATTCTATCTGACATATCTTCTCTATTCTGACATATCTTCTGGCATATCTTCTGGCATATCTTCTGGCATATCTATCTGGCATATCTATCTGGCATATCTTCTGGCATATTTTCTGGCATTCTATCTGGCAAATCTTCTGGCATTCTATCTGGCATTCTATCTGGCATATCTTCTGGCATATTATCTGGCTATTCTATCTGGCATATCTTCTGGCATATCTTCTGACATTCTTTCTGACATTCTTTCTAACTTTCTTCTGCACATTCTTTGTCCCATATCTTCCTACATGAGGTCCGGCAGGGAACACTTGGCGTGGATACTCGCGGTTGAGGTCCGGCAGGGAACACTGGGCGTGGATGGTCGTGGTTGAGGTCCGGCAGGGAACACTGGGCGAGGATGGTCGTGGTTGAGGTCCGGCAGGGAACATTGGGCGTGGATGGTCGTGGTTGAGGTCCGGCAGGGAACACTGGGCGTGGATGGTCGTGGTTGAGGTCCGGCAGAGAACACTGTGGATCGCGGGTCGCAGTTGAGCAAGGACGACGAGGACGACGAGGACGACGAGGACGACGAGGACGACGAGGAGGACGAGGAGGAGGAGGAGAGGAGGAGGAGGAGAAGGAGGAGGAGGAGGAGGAGGCAACTGACATAAAATCTAACAACCCTCACCTGGCAGGTGGGGAAATAAAATATAATATCATATAATAAAGTATAATAAAATATAATATAATATAATATAATATAATAAAATATAATATAACATAATATAATATAATAAAATAAAATAAAAAATAATAATAAAATAAATGGGAATATAATATAATAAAACATAATATAATATGATGCGATATGACATGATATGATAACGTATGATATGATAATATACTATAATGTATGTAATGCAAAATAATGTAATACATTAAAATACAATATAATCTGATATGATATAATATACTATGTTATACTATATACTATATTATGGTATGGACATATTCTATCAAATATAATACATTACAATAAAATTTGATATAATATAACACAAAATAATGCAGTATATAATTATATTGCAATATAATGTAATATAACAAATTATTATACAATATCGTATAATTTCATATCATATAATATCATATAATGTTATATAATATCATGCCATGTAATAAATACAGATTATGTACTCATCAATGCCAATCAAACGTGAAACAGGGTTGTGATAATCCCCAATATTTTGGGTAGTATAAACCCACTAGGATGAATCACCCAACAGGACTCAACACTGCTCAATTGGGGAAAACAAGTTTGTATTTTATGACTCAGTTAGCAAGTTAAAAACAAAAAACGTAAGTAGAGTAAACCGCGTTAAAAAAAAAAACAAAAAAAACACACACCTCAATTAACCACGGTTCCCCCACAAACACTTGTACACAGTACCTCATTCAACTTGTGGTAAAACGACCGTATCCTCTGACTTACATTCATCGCCTGCCCATCTCCTAGGCTGAAACTCATGGATGTGTTCCACCCTGCCTCGATCGTCTTCCTCAGACGGACAAAAAAAAAACGGGCAAAAAAATTGACCCGAATACACATAGCATTTGGAAGAACATGTGTTTAAGCAACAAAATATGATCATTTTGTGATCTTGCAATATGATTGTTTTTGATCTATTTACAAAGTTCAAGCTGGCAAAAAAACAAAACTAAGATGATCCCCAAAAGCATAATGGCACCAATTCAAACATGTGTGAGGAATCGGTTACGTGTCGGGCTACCCGCCAAACCACTAACAGTCAGCACCAGGATCAGAAATCATTCCTAGTTTTGGTTCCTCATTTGACCTCCACTATGGGCTGTTTGTGGCTGGGGGGATACCCCAAAGACATTAGTTATATATATATACACACACATTCAAAACATATAATTATATAATAATATATATATACCAACTTAGTTTGTTTTTTGGGGCCACCTTGTACATGTGGGAAAATACTGTCTTCAATTCGACGTGGTTTCTCTCAGCATTTCCGCAAGGGTTCGGTCTTATTCCCGAAACCCTGAGAACCAGCAACCATGCAAAAAACATGTGTCATAATGTTGCTGGTATACGTTGCAGGTTTAGGTTTGATCTAAATGTGTCTGAATCTATTTCATCCCAAAATGGCTGTTTTTGTTGTAAAAGTGGCCATGGTCATGTACAATCCTCACAACCTCAAGCATCGGGAAGGACTCTTACCCTCCGGGAATCAAACATTGCAATGCAAATTTCCCCATTTATAGATAAGCATTGGGAACATTGCAATGGACAATCCACTATTTAAATCTAGATGGTTTTCATTGGTTTCCTCATTAGAAACACAATTTGTTCGGGGAGTTTCCAGCTAGCCGTGTTTGATGACCGGAGGGTAGATCAACTCAATCTATTGGCTCTTGGGCTTTGAGCCTTGGAAAGAATCCCTGATATGCATATGGGTTTAGAACTCAAGTTTGGTGACCATCTGAAACATGAACAGAAAACATTTTGTTTAGAGATGTTATATGCTAGGCAGGGGGTGTTAATGGGTCGATCCACATCTTTGCTGCGAAATTGGCTCCAACCTCGGATACAAGTAGACTTTCTGGAACCATGTCATTTGTTGTATGAACAAACACAAAAAAAAGGGTTCAGTGACTCCCTGAAACTAGTACAAAAGAGTTTTGGAACCGGGGTATCTTAGATAACTGCCGTCCCAGGTATACCATCTCCTCAACTATCACAGACCCTGAGAATCAGCATGTTTTTCCCCAAACAGTGTGTCCATTACGGCAACAGTTAAGGCCCGGTGTTCGATCGAGGTGGTATCCGAAGCGTCCGGAATTATCCCTGTAAATTTCCACACAAAATGGCTCTTGTGAAATGTCCATGGCCATTTCGACTGCGCAGGCAGTAACAAAACGATGTCCCTGGGAGGGGCGTTTGGCATTTTCCCTCTAAATTTCCACATAGAATCGCTCTAGTGACATGTCCATGTGCATTTTGACTGCGCAGGCTTGCCCAAAATGCTCGCCGCGGGAGTAGCGTCCAGCATTTTCCCCTCTATACTGGCTTTTGTGACATGTCCTCGTGTCTGCCAACTGCCAAGCGACCTCTTTTAGGGAGCTTGCACAGAGATCTCTCCAAGACACCTCTCATGGAGATCTTGTTCGCAGATCTTTCCAAGAGACCTCTTCAAGAGATCTGTGCAGAGAGAGCTCTTATAGAGATCTTGTACAGAGATCTTGCCAGGAGACCTCTTTTACAGGTTTTACAGAGATCTGGTGAAGAGCGCAGAGATCTTGCTCAAAGATCTTGTCTAGTGAGTTTGACCACGATGCGCCGCTTCAGGACTGAAAAAATGCGGCTGCGTAGCTCTGTTCCGTGGCCTCACCTAAAAAACCCACTTGATTCATGTCTACTCTTCTGTTTCTCCTCCCTTTACTTTACCCTTCATTTCCTAAAGCACACTGTTTGGGGTCTCTTTCCGGGAGAATTGTTTAATTTTCTGGTTATGGAAAGTAGTGTTACAGCTGTAACTCATGGCAGGGTCCATGGTAAGTACTGACACCTGGCGCCATCGCTGTTCACCAGGGCACGCTGGGGTCTTGATCGTGTAGACTGTGGAGTCCTGGGGATACGGAGTGGTCAAAACTGAGGACACCCAAATCATGGCCAAGCGTGTGTAACCTTAGTCACAGACACTATGTTCTGCCAACATGGAGGATGCATGAGGATGCAGTGTCGCAACACGATTGGAGAGATCCCAGAAAAGACTGTATATCTGCAGCGATTCAAAGGTGTTGTTTGGGGTGGGGTACCAATCTCGGAGAAAAGAACATCGATGACAGACCTAGAAACTTGCTTTCCTATATCCCATCGAAACTCAGGATATCACGTCTTGGGGGATGCACCTCCATTTACGAGCAAATCTGATGTTCGCTATCCACAAGGTACCGCGGTGTTGATATGTGTTGACCCATGGTTATCCATAGTCCCTATCCTCTAATCCTCAATGAATGGCTCAAAAATGTCCTCTCAGCCAAACCAAACCAATCCCTTGGAATCGAGGATGATGATCGAAGTTTTGTCCACACTGAAATACTGCACCAAAAAAATTGTGGGGTCAACCCCCATACAACCAATCACCTATCCTGAGATAACCCCCATTATTTCCCATGAACAATTCCAACGGGTGCTCGCTTCAAGTGGCAAAATCACCATTTTGTTCTCGTGAAAGCATTTATGTTTGGAACAACATTTTTTCCACTAGGAATTCGACATTTGTCCCAGGTGATCTCATCCCAGGTTAAATCACACACTTGCTGCTTATTTCAGCTGCTTGTTGGCGAACAAAAACCTGGCCCCAAAACCGCTGCAAAACCAAGTGGCCACGAGGCAAATCAGAGCCTGGCGGACGGGACCGTGCCGGAAGCAAAACATGGCTGACCTCACCCCACAACAAAAGGTTTACTCAGCAAGACATACGAATTTCAGCAGCAAGAAGAGCCAAGAAGCAAACATATGCAATGATGAACATGAGTTGAGGGTTTAACTGACCAACATTGATACGCATATCAACCACGCAAACATGATAGACATGAGATGTGCCTTTGGCGTCGAACTTGCACATTTCTTTGGGCGAACCATGGTGAACCATTCCAGCTAAATAGCCCTGGTGATGTCCTTACGATATCGATCTATATTGTGAAACAGTGTCACATGGCAAGGCAATTGGACTATGATTCTGTGGTCGCCAGCTTTAGAACCACATTGGTTGCCGGAGAGGAACAAAATGGCGTTTTTCGATTCAACAGTTCTGAGACAAATGCCAGGAGGTGGTGATCAAATTCCACTGAAATCTTCATGTTCATATTAATGAATAAAAGCCAAACTTGATGAACTCCCAAAAAAGAATCAACACATATGCATTGAAGAAACAATCTTCGTCAGAGCGGGAATAAAAGTCAATCTCAACAACTGTGTTCAGCTGGTTTGGGCTTTGTAACCCCTATTCTGGCAAAAATCAAACACACACATAATATATTATACAGTTTGTGTTAAACTACTCATCCAGTTCTGTACATAATATCCATCATTGTCTCTTCTTCCCATGAATATAAAATATACGTAATTATATATATATATAATCCTGGAGTAGATACAATATGAACATTTCAAAGCCCTCAAGAATGCGGAAAGATCTCTGAACTAACATTCCATATTCTATCTACTTCAGGATGACTTTATATGTGTATATATATATAATATACATTAATACTTATCCACTGTCTGGAAACAAAATTAAGTGATTCACCACGCTGACCGGATGATTCCCCCCAATCCTAACACTTATTGTTTTCAAATAGTGACATCGGGACATAAGGTCGTGATCAAATTCATCCAGATTCTCTACCCGTTTACCCAGTCTATATCCCCACTCTATCAATATTCTATCTGCATTCCAATTTGTCCCAGTATATCATAGTATATCTACACCCATTATGTACCCATCCAGTTCGTTTTCGTCTCACCGAAGCACAGGCGAAGCGAAGCCGCAAAGGCCAGCGCGCCTTTGTCAAGGAGGAAAGCAGCTGTGCTCGCATGACACATCTCTCTTTCGCCTCGCCTGGCACCATGGCACCAGCTTCTTCGGTGGAACACAAAACATGAAAGTTGAAATCAAAAACATACCCAAAATGGTACACGAAAAAATAGCTAATTGTGGAAAATCAGCATTTTCCTAACATCAACTATACATGGTCATTTTCAATAGCTATGTTGGGTTACCAGAGACTCAACAGAAATTGACACCAGTATGGTCGCCGACAAAATTATGTAAAAACAAAACGTTCAACTTAGACAGGCGGCGCCTGCGTCCGATTTTTCCATAATTAGATTTTTCCCCATAAGGGTTCAAAATATCCCGGAAGTGATCCGAACCTTTTTTTTCCATAATTCTTGGAGGTGGCCATTATTTCCATAATTGATTTTTCCTGTGAAATCAGGGGGCTAGGGCAGATTGACCGGTTCTTCCATAATTATTTTTTTCCATAATTAATGTTTGGGGCTCCACCTGTTGGAAATGTCATGGATCCACAATTCAAACCCGTTTTTTTTTGGGGTTATGAAAATATGTATGCAAATGCAAGTATGTAGTATCAACCCAATTGGTGGCTTGGCAAAGGGAAACATCCAGATATTATGTACGTCAATGGCAGGCTTTAGGGGCATATACCAGATCTTTAGACACATATTTTCTATAATTCAATATTCTCCCTTAAAATGCATTCAAATTGCGAACATCACATGATATTATGTATATCAATGGAAGACTTAGGGGCATATACCAGATCTTTAGACACATATTTTCTATAATTCAATATTCCCCCTTAAAATGCATTCAAATTGCGAATCGATGGACATACAGTCACCGACAGAATTATGGAAAAAAAATAATTATGGAAACAATAATTATGGAAAAAAAAAGGTTCGTAACTTTTCTATCATAGACAGGCGGCGCCTGTAAATTGAAACGTTTTTTTTTTCCATAATTCTGTCGGTGACTGTAGATGCTATTGAACTAGACTTATACATGATATTACACGATTGAAGTTGAAAACCACTTGTTAATAAGAACCAAACACTGGATGGGTATAACTTATAACTTGGGATTATTATCCTAGATTAGAGATAAATACAATATCCACTAGTCACTAGACACGATCCCATAAGTCCCAATAACTTTAAACAAATCCAAGTTACGAATGTGCACAAAAAAAAATTGGCATGTTTTGCCATTTGGGACTGAAACTCTGAATGAATGGGGCAGCAGTTTCCCAAAATTCCCTACTAAAACCTAGACGCCAAAAGTAAATTGTGCACAGCAGCTGCAGCACACCTGGGTTGAAGCACCAACAGTGATAGAAAACAAACATGATGGTTTAAGCATCAAGCTGGATTTAGCCAACAATACTTGGAACGCGACAAACAATGATCAATGAAGGGATAGAAGCAACAACATATATAGTTCCGGCGATCACCATTTTGTGCATGGCTGGCCATTTCTGAAACTTGCAGCTGAAAGAACCCATAAAGATCTGAGGGTTTATATTAAAAATGGCTTGTTTACTAGCAAAAATGAACCAAAATCCAGGGGCCATATCCACATTCCGTGTCCTTATATAGTAGAAAATCTGAAAATCTGGGTGTTTTGAGCACAGCAAACACAGCTGTTGCCAACAAGAGCGGTGTGATTTTTTCACCCCAAACTGGGTTATGTCAGCTATGTCATCCGAAAGAATCGCAGGGTCTCTGTGTATCTAAACAAACAGGGTAATGCATGTTGTATATAGACATACAATGATATAGATGATACATAGCAACCCCTAAGTTAAGATGCTGAAAAGTGATGGTGGTGAGAAATTTTATCTCTTACCGTAACTCTTGCCTAAGTATTGTTTCCAGGTTGCCAACACTTCTCTATCAACCTTTGGTGGTTGCTATAGATCTATAGATATGGGTCTGTCTAAAAAGGGGGTGTAGTCACCAAAATTGCATTACAAGATCATATGATCCACCAGAGACTTGAAGGGCAGCCTCTTTCCAGACAAACCCATATACACAACCATTAAAACAACGCTATAGGTGGCCATGCACAGTCAAGTCCCAGTGGCATGCTGAGGTGATTTGTGCCACGAGACGCTCCATTGTCTTCCTGAATGGGCGAATTTCCATGGGCTAGGCGGGAAAATTGAGGAGTTAGCGTCTGGACAAATGAGAATATATGGGAATCATTCCCTAAGCTGACTTGAAGCGTTGCAAGAGAAATAATGTAGTATGGGAATTTGATAAGAAGTCATATACTTAGTGGTTCCACCCAAATAGTAAGAGGGTTAGCGCACCCTGGTGACATAACTGGACGAAGCCTACTATTACCCTACTTTAAGACTTACAAGTGGAATGAACTAGCCCACTCACAAAGTGGGGTGAGCCACCATCAGTGAGGCAAAAGGCTGTAAAATAACAGTGCTCATCATATTCCCCCATGTTAGATATTCCCCATTGTAAGAACAACACATTGGCTCAACCATGAAATACCCAATGATATATGTGAACATGCTATGAAATATCCATGTAATATATAATCAATGGGTAAAACCATGAAATATATTCACATGTGGTCTAGCCAATGACATGAACCATCCCCCAATTACCCAAGGACTTGCCAGAGATTGTCACAGGACCTAGAATGACCAGTGTCCGTACCATTGAAGTGAACTTGTCATTTGATTGGTGATTAGCCATGGAGCAGTGTTGTGAATTATAGAATAAATGGAACTCAAGTAGCAATATGTATATATAATACATGATTGAAAGGCAACATCTGGAGTTCACCATGACCCAAAACCGCCATGAGGGGAACATGAGGTTTAAACCACTGGACTTTAGGGTATCCTGTTTTGAAATTACCCCTGATCTTGGTTTTGGCTGAAGTCTTTCCCAAAAAATAACTTGCACTAAATTACCCTTCCCTTTCCAAACACAACAATCCTGAAGGTGTAACCAATGGTGAATCAGAAGATCCAGATGAGCATTGTTCAAAACCCGCAACATTATTTCATCTACTGCTTTGTTAGGAACGGGATTCCCAGAATGGATGATGATAATCCCCAATATATAGGGGTTCCAAAAAAAATAGAAACAGCTTTTCCAGGATGTTACAAGTGCGATTTCCACAATGAAAGCAGGTGTCCACGAACCAATCTTCAACCAACAGGGGTCAACCAGCAGCCACTGCTCAGATGTTGCCTCACTGGCATTATTCAGGGATAGTATGAACTAATCATAATCGCAAGTAACTAGGGATAGGAATTGATGAATAACACCTTTCTTTAATCATCAAGTGGGAATACGAACAAATATTTGGATATATTTGTTTATCATTATATCATATCCAATTATTATGGTCAATGAGGTAAACCAAATGCCATCGACCATCCCCAATTGGGGTTTATGAAATTTGCTATATATACCTTTTTTGGCATTATGTATCATGACCCCAAATGGTTGCTTCCTGGGACGGTTTACTATTCCCTTTCCCACATGATTGATGTCCGCAGTGCTGGATCAAAGGACATTCAGGAGCCAGCTCTGATCAGCACATGTTTTAAAACCATGGCAAACCCAGGAGATTTTTTTCTGATTTTCCCACCAAATCGCCCCATGTTTGTTGGGACTCAGCCTTTCATTCACCATCGTTGGTCAACCGTTGGTCACGGTCATGATACAGTTGTGATATGAAAAGCCGTCTGCACCGCATGCAAATGCTTCAAATCAGCAGCCCAACCTGGATCTACCTGCTCCACGATGCCCTCAAACCACACTACGGCGCACAACAGGGGCCGGGTGCCACCATCCACTATCTCCACCTATCTTCCTCAAGGTTTGATCTGAATAATCCATAACCAATCAAACAAAATCCATCCAAATCCACCAAAATTAAGAAGCAATCATCCAAAATCATCCAAATCCATTCAAGAATCCCCCAAAACATCCAAGTGCCAGTGGCAATTTTCCCTCCCCCGGAAGTGGCTCAACCAGGCGTCGTCAGCCGTCCACTTGGCACTGGCTTGAATCGGTCCTCCACGGCAAAGGGCCTCAGGGCTTGCCAGGAAAGTCACTGAGTTTCAACATTGCGTGAGAACTGGGGGTTTTACCGGCTAAAATGATGATCTAATCAAACAAGTATCTATCTATCTATCTATCTATCTAATTAATCTATCTATCTATCTATCTACCTATCTATCTATCTATCTATCTATCGATCGATCGATCGATCTATCTATCTATCTATCTATCTATCTAATCTATCTATATAGATAGATGATTTTACGTGGCAAACATTTGCAAACATGGTAATTTAATCAACAAAAAGTTTGGAATTCCAAGCAAAACACTGTGATTCAATTAACAACAATATTTACAGTACATGGCAAACATGGTGATTGAATCAACCAAAACAACGGATTTACTTTTATTGATTCTGCTGCTCAAAAGATTATTGGCCACCATCAGTCCCTGTTGTAAAATCCTTATTGTTGTAGGCTGTTGTCGTGGCTAATGGATGCTAATGGCAGATACCTTTCAAAGGAAACCACTCGTTTTTTGCTCCTTTAGTGTGTTAAGTAAAGACATTTTTTCCCCTCCCCTGCACCAGTCGGTCTACCTAGTTGTTGTTTTGCCTTCATCAGACCTACGAATCTCTGAGGCTGCCTTTTTTTCAACAACTGCCATGGCAAAGCATGGACAATCTCGGATTCGCCACAGATTCCCGTTTAAAGAACTATCGTCAGTCTATCTATATTCCCTTTGCTTAAAATAGCAATCACACAGTACATCTGTCGCATTCACATAATCTAACAACTACCATTCACCATTACTCACAAATATTCCCCGGGTAAAAGCGGGTTAAACCGAATTTCACCAAGCAGCCAGCAGAATCATATCAAACATCCATCTGTATCAAACATCTCAACTGATATTTGCAAGGCGGGGCCTCCTAGACAGCTGAGTTGGTTTGCAACTTGATTAAGTAGGCTTATGGGATATGACTTAATATAACTATATCGTAACTACAGTTAGTTTCTAGTTAGTTGATGAAGTTCATGAAGCAACTAATATACAAACATCACTGGCACCCAGAAAATTCAGCAGCACCGGGGTCCTGAGGCCTCCTGCTCCATGGCCCAACATGCCTTGGCCGCCGTGTCATTCAGCCAGCGGAGCAGCATTTTCGCGCCCTCGTCCGGCAAGGCATACCGGTGGCACGGGGGATTCTTGCCCTGGCCTCGGCGAAGATTAGGGAAGAGAGTGGTCGAAAAGTGAGGAAAACAATGGAGAAAACCATGGAGAAGGCATGATAAAAGTTGACCAACATGGGTACAAATGGTTAAAATGGTGGGTTTATCCAGCAGTGGCGGCGATTTCATCCGCTCAAAATGTGGTTTCCTCAGCAAAGATGGTGATAAACCACAATGTTGGTTTAAGTGCGAAGACAAGAAATCGTGTGGTTGGTCATGGCATATCATTCTTGTTGGTTGATCTGCAGGTGTGATCTGCAGGTGTGATATGCAGTTGGGCTGGCTATTTATCATATGATCATATGTTACAAAGACTTCGTTGTTGCTGATCATCCACATCACAAATCCTCGGTATGGGTGGAATGGAGGTGTTGAGCAATGAATACCGTCATTTGCTGTTTCAAATCTGCCTTGCATAGCGCGTTGGACGCCTCGCCCCGTAACCAACCATACTAACCAGTCCCTTGGCGCGATATCAACGCCTATGAAAACATGTTGAACTCCCAAAATGGCCACGGACTCATCCATTCGCAAGGTATTAGTGGTGGACGATTTGCCACTGTTGTTGTTTTGCAGCTTCATCCCCCATTTTTTGCTGGATCGTGCCCCCCGTCTTACCACTTCGATCAGCGTTTGTTGGTTCTATTCCTCTTGTAGTTGCTATACTCCGTACACAGATCTAGTATAAACCAAACACATGAAACCCCGCCGAAAGAGCACCACATCATTGAGCCTGTCTAACCAGCGATATTGAAAGTTGGCCCACCAAGAAGTGGGGCTGTAAACAATCCCTTGCTGCGAAAAGCTCCCCCAATAGGAATGGTCAACGATGGTTTTTTGTTTGAGTTGAAACCAACAATCATGCAAAAAAACTCAAAGAACAACGTCAACAGTTGTGTGATGTCTCAACTTTTTTCATGACTGGTTTGTATTTCTTGATATTTTTCGGATCCAAATAGTCTTTACACCTGTTTCTGTGGCAGCTTATTCATGAACTCCAGAAAAAAGGTCTATGTTCAAACCCAAAGCCTTTGGATTTAATCTTTAGTTCCTACTGTATATGATGCTGTATATGTAAAAAAAAACAGATTTCCCCAAAGATTTCTAAGACCTCTCGAGACCTGGATCTAACCCAGTGGCCATACTCCTTCTCCGCACTCTTGTCAGCCAACACATCTTGGAGTAGCTGAACCAGAGCACGCACGGAGTCAACCTGGGGTATGTTGTGAATAACATGATACAGAAAGGGGGTTGTCTCTTCATGAAAACAGGGCTGAACCTTCATACACCGATCATTACAAGGAATCCCATCCTGCTGGGAAGACCAGGGGCCCCTGGTCCCCCAGGCAACTTGACCATGTTGCACATATCAAGTTGGTTATATATTCCCTTCATATACAATTATATCCCATCATATTGGTTGAATTCCCTATGTTGCTTAACATCTCCCCTATTTTAGTTGGCCAAATCCCTAATGTTCACCGGCAAAAATCATCATTCTGACCTAAATCCCTTTCTGTCCCGTATCAAATCACCACGAGTTACTGGATAACGCACAAATTGTTTTGCTTCTTGACCCCCCTGCCAATCCATTTATAGATGATTTCCCCATTAAAACCTTTGATCGCCACATTTGATTGCCGGAGGGTATATGATCCCCTAAATCCAGTTGTGAATCATTATTTCCTGATGATCATTGCCAGAAGTTAGGCGCACACATGTTTAAGGACCAATCCACATCCATCATTCATTGATTAATTCACATTGTTTTTGCATTGGTGAAATCCCAATTGTTGATTTCAATCCCGAAAGTTCCAGTTCCAAATCCCCACATCATTGTTGGATGTTCCATTAAAACCCCATTAAAACACTTTTTTTCTTTGGTAAATTGGTCCATACGCCGTAAAACCCATCGCCTGATAGTCGTAGGCCACGTCCAGCAGGTCTTTTGCTGCATCCCCTCCGTTGCCTGCTGGATTTCACCACCAAATGGGGAGATTCATCAAGAACAAAACATGCAGGCAGAGGAAGTTGGATCAACATTTGGATTTCACCACCCAGCTAGTGGAATATGGGATTTAATCTGATATAATATATATATATTACAACCAAGCTAGTGTGTTCAAAATGCTCCAATTACCATCATGGTTGTTCAGGTCAACCCACCATGACGGAAATCAACCATGACTTGGTGGAAGATCACCAATTCATTGATGAGTTCCCCTTTAAACCTCCATTCAGTTCGGGGATTTTCCACCTTGTGATGTTTGATGACACTGGAGGGTCATTATTCACCATTATTCACGGATCATTGGTAAAACACTATTTATGCAATAATAGACCCGTTTGCTTCTATCCCGTGATTCTTGGTGACATCTGAAATTCACCATGTAACTTCTCTGGTTTCAGTTTCTGAGGCCCGGAATCTGGAAGATGGGCTGCTGAGAGACCCACAAAGATGCGTTGAACATTCTGAAACAGTGGGAAGTATGGGTGAAGGTTCTACAAACCCATTCAACTCTAGGGAGTATCTGTATATCTTTCGCCATTAGTCAAAAACGGTACCGTATAGCAAGATCCAAAAACACACAAAGTACACTTGTCATCTGACTAACAGAATGATCAACGAACCCTCTCTCTCTCTCTATCTCTCTATCTCTCTGTCTCTCTATCTATCTATCTATCTTTCTATCTATCTATCTATCTATCCATCTATCTATCTATCTATCTATCTATCCATCTATCCATCAATCTATCTATCTTCCTATCTATCTATCTATCTATCTATCTATTTATCCATCTATCCATCTATCCATCTATCCATCTATCCATCTATCCATCAATCCATCAATCCATCCACCTATCGATCTAATTATATACTATTTTGCTACATATAAATATGTACATATGCATACAGTATATGGTTACGATACAAAGAAACCAGCAGAAACCTATGGCTTGAGGGGTTTAGTTCCTGCAAGTGTTCCGGCCAGCAAATGTCACCAGGTCACAAAGTGGGGCACCCCTTTTACGGCCAAATTGGTAACTTGGTGAAGTAGGGATTATGAAAGATATAACTAGAGTTCATGTGGGTTAGAAACCAAATAAACCAACTTATAACTAGGGCAACCCACCTTGAGCATGGATGATGTTTACAAAACTAGTTTCATCACACACACACATACACTATATATATATATATATACCAAAGTTTGCCGATCAATTTGTCTGACCCGAACTGGCAAACAATTCACTCATCTTCATAAACCACAATAATTCCCCATACTGAAATAGAGAGATTTGGAGACAGTCACCACTACATTCACCTGGTGACGTCGCAACGGGAGGGGGTTTTGGATCATCCCACTGAACTGGCTCCCGTATCCTGTACTGGTACAGGTCGCCAGGTGACCGGACTGACTATGCAGGGTAATTATAAGAAGTTAATATCACTACCCTGGATGATCTTCTAATTATGGCTCGAATTAGTGACCTATAGCGATCTTTGTGCTACTCATCATTGGGGGATCCCAAACAAGCAACATCTACGAATGAAATAAGCTAGAAGTGCAACCTACGGGGCTAATACTGGCCAACTGGGACGTACCTAGTACGTATGGTCACCAAAAGTATCCCTCATATGGCTTTAGATCAAAGCCCTCGAATTCCGGTTCCTGGTTTTGCGAATCTTCATCCACCCACTCATATGATTTTCTGCGAAATAGCCTACCCGAAGCTCCCATGGTTCATAATCATATTTCCCAATAAAGTTGCCACATCACGGGGATTCTCCATTTTCAAACACACCCGTACGGCTCAAAATGATCAACTTTACAAAATGGATGGTTGATACAACAGCTGAGTGGGTTGATTCATGCCCGAATTGCTTGCCCTACACCTACATGTTCAACAAAACTAATATAATACGTGTCTCAACCAAGTTTAACACCATTTATTGGTCAAATCACCGGTTGGATTCCCATTTTTGGCTTTTAAATCGCCATAGCGACTCCCAAATACTCGCTAACCTGCTCAACCCCTGCCTCCATTTTGCCAAGCATTCTGGCCCTGGCCCCAAGCCTCGCGAACACATGTGGATTTTTGCCAATCATTGTGGATCTAGCATGATGTAGCCATCAAAAATGAGGCTGTACTCAGCAAACGTGTGGATTTAGTAGGCAATTATGTGGATTTAGCGAGCAATCATGTGGAGTTCGACAGCAAAAATGTGGATCCCCTTGGCAACGTCTGCCATCATCATGGCTACGAATCAACATTCACGACCCTAGAACACTCTCCTTCAGACTTGTCATTGTTCTAAACGTTCAACTTTTCGTGTGCCTTAAGGATTTTGACCCACATACAGGTGTGTCGGAAAAATAGGTTTATCCCCCAAATGCTGTGAAAACGTGTCAAATTTTTGGGTACCTTATTTTCAGATAAGACCCATGAAGTGGTAATATGCAGTTTTTTTTGACTGAATATATTACCTGAAAATTTTGACATTGGTGTTTCAATCCTGGGATGACGATGATATAACAAAAAATAGGGAACAAGGATACAACTGCAAGAAACAGATATATAATATATCACGTATAAACCGGGAGAATGGGTATACCTAGGGATACCACCAATGATGCTGGCAATCATTGTGTGTGGCTCAACGGCAGCGTTTGCTGCCCACTGCTGTTGACTCGGGGAATGACTATATGCCTGCAATCTCAGCATGATATAAGTACTTCACGATCAAGGTGAGGAACGATGCTCTTCTGGGAGAACTTGTTGCTTTGAAGTCGGTCATATAGTTCACCATGGTCCACGATTCCACACCACTTTTACATTCATCCCAAACCAGCATTGAATGTATGAGCAAAAGACATCCATGAATCATATCCCTTGAGTCATTTCTTGCTTCATCAATAATAGTGGATGCAAAGCATAGGATACAGAGAGTTGGGTCGTATATCTGTATATCTATCAATCTCTATATACATGTCTGTAAATATATATATATATGTATATATATATTATATTTAGATAGATACCACCCTGGTTTCACTCAAACAAACAACCATGAAGCTTACACCGATGCTAGCTATTCCTCGGTTATCCGGCATATATCTTCTATAGATATGAAAAGGTTGTTCTTGGTCAATCAGAATTGTACTAGAATTATCATCTTAAGTAGGTTTGAACATGTCACCTACAACAAGATGCAATTGTTGTCATCTCACATGTATATATAATTATATAGTAATAATTATAATGATACTAATGATAATGATGATGGTGATGATGATGATGATGATGATAATGATAATACACACCCTGTATTTCTCGGTCATGCCATCCCTGGCTGCAGCTTCAAACAGGGCAACACCAATTGGACAGAAAACTTCAAAAAATGGTTGCGGAAGGTAATGCTATTCCTACTGGAAATGCTGTTTCTCCAAAAACACAGGATACCCAAAAAGTGCAATTTTAATGAGGAACATAATCTGGCAAACCCATATCGCCGTTTTGCTTGATTCATATCCAAGTTTAGCTCTGTAATCCATCATTCACCAGTTCTGTAGTTTCGCTTGAATCATATGCAAGTCTTTTCTGAAGAAACATATGAACTGTCTAAATTATCTTAAATAATATGGTTCGCTAATCTCCATTAACCATGTAGAATCCATTATTCACCTAGCTGGTGATTAACTATGTCCATTCCTGCTGGGTGTGCATCTCACTGCACCTCCGGAGCAGCATGTCCTGCCAAGCACAGGACAAGGCGTATTGGGAGCCAAAGGTTTCGCCAAATGGGGATAATAATGATATTGTTAGGGGATCAGAACAATCCAAATGGGGATTTTGAAGATTCACTATCATATTCTTATTGGTTTGGGGATAATGATGTTGTCGGAATTAAACCATCATACTAGAAATTTGGAGGTGATAACACTAATGACAACACTAATAACGATAAGGCTAATACAATTTGGGGATACCTTATCGTGCTTTATTTAATTCATCAAATGTCAACTATCTTTATGCGGACAATCAGGTGAATAACGGATGATTTATGCTGCAATATGGTATTTCAATAATTACACAAAATGGTGCACTCGTGTTGAACATCCAAAAAGTGAAGTGTAAGCAACACACAGAAACTTGATCCATAAAAATGAAGTTGGGGAATTCACCAAGAAACATGGACAATTTATGATATGGTATTATGATTCCCTTTGAATAAGCAAAAAATGAAACGTTATCCAAAAAAACATGGGGATGCGAGCCAATTGTGGATCATCAATGATCACTGGCAATTGATTGTTTAATCAACCTGTATTATGTCCTAATCAAACGTGACGTTGGGGACAGTTTAGGGCAATACCATCCAAGTTTCCAGGTAGAGATAAGTGAACCCAATCCAACTGATTCTCAAGTAGTCCGCAACTGGTGACCGGCTCCTTCGGTGAAGTTTTGGTGTTTCCCATTTCCATGGCCAATCTTCGATGCCAACAACACCGTTTTCATGAGTATATATTTCTAGATATGGTTCCGATTGTGGAAGCAACTACAAGCTTAAGAACATCAAGTACCCAGGGTTTCCCATCATGAAAAATCGTTGTGTCACCAGTCACCAGGTTGGAGGGTCCAACTCCCAATTTCTGGGGTGAAGTTTCCAATTCCCACGGTTTACCCAAAAAATACCTGTGGTTTTCTCATGGACCGTGGACAGGTGCGCCTGAAGTCCAGTCATTCTGGCCATCGGCCCAGTTGCCGCTTCCATAGTTCCAGGGGCCCCAGGCCTCGGGTAGCAGTTTACTGCAGCAACATTTGGCGGACCACAAATCAAAGATATCAAACCATGACATAATGACCTGCACAAAGGAACAGTTTGGCGATGAAAAATCATGGGATGACGAGGATACGACCAACATTTTTTTGATGGATACTACCAAGACACCGAGATATATCACGAACAAACCAGGAGAATGGGGATTGAACTAGCTTACAAAGAATTGCTAAGTACTGCTGACCGGGGAATGTACCAGCTGGCAATTTAAGACAGCTACTGAAAATGGTTCATAGCTAATTACCTGTTAAAACTTGTTATTTTCCATAGCAAACTGTTCGTTATTCCCAAAGGGTATGAATGATTAGTTGCACCCCTATTATATCCCCTATATCCCCGTAGGTGTTGGTTCAATCTGATTGAATCACCATAAAATAACAATGTTTGTATAGTTATATCCCTCTGATGTACCCATAAAATCACCGCTTGTTTATACTTAGCATCAACATAAAATGACGTTTTTCTCTAGGCAAATCCCACGAAGTACTATTAAATCACCAGTCTAGTGCTTCAAAACAAGCCATACCCGAACTTCTTGTGGCCGTCTCAAAGACTTAGTCCACCATGCTAAGAAGTTCATCCCAAAGCAGCTCCGTAGTGAGATATGAGATATAATATGGGATACAACTGGATCCAAATGAATATCACAACCATCTATAGCAACGGTAATAACCAACAGTTTGAAATGGACAACCACCATTAAAATGCGAGGCACATCATCAATAGGTATGGACCATAGCCATGTTAGATTACCAGAGGGTGAACCGCCACATGCACACCAGTTTACCAGCTGTGCAATGCTACAGTCATCATATCCGTAGCATTGGTTATTCCTACCATCTAATGCTTGAATGCTCAACCACCAAAATCACCATTTGATTCTAACATGAATCTTCCTGGAACTCCAACACTGGGTTTGGGAGATGGTATTTTGCTGGAAATGTGGTTTGTCTAAAAGTGCATAAAAATTGCCATGTTTGCAATGAGGAACGTGTTTTTATTCGACCACGAGGTATTGCGGATTTTCCATCATTTCTAGAAAAAACAATATCACCACCATTTCCATCGATTCATATCCAGTTTTAGTTGGTCAAGCAAACATATTCGCTGGTGAAGCTCACATTTTTGCTGGTAAAAAAAATCCAATGTGTGGTGTTAAACATGCATTCTTGTTGGTTAGACTCACGTCTTTGCTTGTTAAATCCCACTTTTCTGTTGGTTCAAACAACTTTTCCCTGCTAAAAAATCCATTGAGGAGTCCATCTGCAGCTCAGTAGCAGCATCTCCTGCCCGGATCCAGGCGGGAAAGCGCTTACGGTAGATATCTGTAGAGGGGTCATGCAGAAAGTCCATAGGAATATGAGATGGACAGTGAAATCATATCAGTTCAATCCAGTTCAATTCATAGCATTGATTGAAATGAGGACACACATAAACATGGATAAGTTATGATGAATCTCGATGAGAATCTACAAGGCCATGGGGCTTACAAGGCCAGGCCAATCTTTTCGCTGCGTGGAAGCAGAAATGAACAAATCACCAGCAAATAAGGCAACACAATCAATAACAATATCCAGAGAACTGCTAAGCATACACATTTACATCATACAGGACTTATGTATTGTTAGTAGATGATGCCAGAGCCGTCAGTGGCCCCACTATCGCTTTGCTATTGGAGCAATGGTCGGTGACAAAAACCCCAACATTGGTTCCCAGGTCAACATCCCTAACACGTTGCCCGAATAAGTCATGTCAAATATTTGGCATTTACTGGTTGCATACTTTCGAGTCATTCTGTTTTTTATTTAATATCCCTTACAAATGGAAAAACATGGGGTGGCAACACTGAACTAGTTCTCAAGCATGGGATTGGAAGTAAAGCGGCATAGTAAGCAAACATAGTGATTAAAGCTAGGAATCTCCCGTAACCTATATCTAGAACAACCCTCGAAGCATGGCAGTTAAGCATTGGCCCTCCCGCCAACCCGCCAACAGCGATGCTTACTACGTTGGCAGAAGGTGAATGCATTGCAATCCCCTATATGGAGCTTTCCATACATCGAGGTACCCCTAAATCATTAATTCACTATTGTGTTTTTCATGATAAACCATCCATTTTAGGGTACCCCCCATGTATGGAAACCCCCATATGCGCATAGCATTAGCAACTGGTTAGTTGAGCCTGGTTGTTTATAACCGGGATATCTATTACTGATATCACTGTAGCTGGGTGTAGTAGCCATGTTTGTCAGCCACTACTACACGGGATGCCCATCCAACTATGGGCACCACAGCCGCAATTTCATGGAACCCAATTCAGGTTGGTTTCTGATTGGCTTCTAATTGGTTGCTGCTCTTGCATCATGACTATTTATTCCTGTTCTGGAATATTCGCGATTAATGGTGAAACCCCGTCATCTCATATATTGTCCACGAATGAAGGAAACTATGACCTATCGGGGCGAATGCTTGCAATTCACACACCGGAAATACACACATTTCGTAGATGATTCCCTCAACCCTCACCATCATCCATAGTGATGTCGTTCTGAGGCCGTTATAGTTTTCCCAAAAATACTTGGATTTGCTTAAGGGCCCCCTCCAAAATAGGACATATTCCATAAAGGTTCCCGAAAAGCTATCCCATGGGAACACATCAAATTCCACTTAAGCAAACCAAGGCAATGGCAAAATAAGACAATTTATGTCAAAAGATGTCACTATGGTCTGGCATCACCTGTAGTTGTCAGTTCAAATAACCGATGCGCTCCAACACTTCTGGGACACACAATAAATCATCCCTAGAGATTCCCCCAATGCTGGATATCCCAGTAAAAACAACGAAACTATCTAAAAAATAATGGGTGTCAAAAATAAAACAATCATTGGTATATATATATTATTGATATAAATGCATTCTAACCATTGTCCGTCAGTATATACGGTATATATATCTTACCTTAAGCAAAGCTCGGAAGATTGGTCACCCAAATCCCATTCGGCCCGCCTGTCATCCCCGCAGGGTTCCACGGTCCCAAGGGTCCCAAGGGTCCCACAGGTCCCACGGGTTGGATCGGTTGGACCTGGTGACTTGCTGATTTTTGCTGTCGAAAGGGATGCAGCCAATACTGGTTGCTGGTGCAATGTGCCCATCTTGAAAAAGATGAGTTCGTCAATGGGTTTCGGATGACATCCCACGTATGAAATGGAAAATAAAAATGTTTTTTTGACTCCCCGCCAACGTCAGCTTGCTGAGGAAGTTCGCAGCGAAGCTTCATCTATCAACACAACGTTCATGTGTGAAACTGCCAAGGCAGCTGGTCAAGTGCTTCGCCCTGACCAAGAATTGGCTTTTTGGCAAACGCAACGATAGCATCATTCGTCTGACGAAGTCGATCAGCACGACACTGGACAAATGCACAGCCAACATGAGCATGAATACAATATGACGACTGGGATCGACGTGTCTGCCTGCTTACAGTCACTTGAGCAGTTTTCCACAACGCCTGCAAGCTCAGACGAAACCACTTGCACCGAGCCCTAAAGCTGAACCTCTGTGGTAAACAGTCCAAATTAACAGCAGGGTTACGCCACTTGCCAGAAATGAGCAATGGGCCAAAATGACCGGTATGCCGCTGGAAATCAACAAAAAGCTCAGCAAAAGACACCCACTGGGCTCCATCTTGTCCAGGCAGAAAAAGCCCATTGCACCATTGCACAAGCACATCCCCATAGGCTGCACCATAAACCCCAGAAAATTTCCGAGGCAAACTCAGCGACTCCTGCCATCCCCAAACACCAGGGCGAGCAGCAGCTCCTGCTGGTACAGCGGGGGCAACAATAGGCTGATCAGGCGCCACATCCCTCATATCTGGGTCAGAAAACCAAGCCAGGTTCACAGCAACAATGTGATCTCGGATGTGACGACCAACAAACTCATGTCTGCTCACAAGCTCCACATGTTTCCGCCAAAAATCCCAGAAACTGCTGCCGCGGTCCTGATTGCAAACAACCGCTGCTCTGTCTGCACACAGATTGTGATAGCCAAGCCACAAATCTCGATGGGATGAGGTCTGTGCCAAATCAACATGGGCCTTCACCTTGACAAACTGCACCCTGGGACCTACCTGCACAAGAAGATCCGCAAGCCACTGCCACAAGTCCGAATTATGCACGTTAGGTTTATGGCAACACACCCCATGCTGCATAGCACACGCTCGAGTCACAACAGATTTACAATCACTATAGACAACGATCGGCCGAGAGGTCAACGCACCATAAGTCAAGGCAGCGCAGACTGCATACAATTCAGCTCGAAATGCTGTCTGAGTCAAGCCTGAGAGGCAGCCACCACCAGCCACATGACTGGTGAAAGCGTCAGAACCAGAACAGGAAGCAGCGACACAGACGCTCCAAGCAGCAAGACGATACGCTGGCTCTGACGGCCAAAAACAACTGCCGTCAGTGAACAAATGCAAAGGACCATCGCCAGTCAAATCACAGACACAAGATGGGACAACATCAGGCAAAGCAATGAGACGACAGCGCCACTCATCAGCAAAAGGGGACGACAAAGTCCAGCCATGCACAGTCAGGACAGGAGGCAAGTCATCAAGCACAGACAGAACCTGAGGATCCAAAGAATCCCGCAGGTGTTGGGTGGAAGGACATTGCCAGTACCGGTGATACAAGGTATCTTCAACTCCACAAGCCCGGCACGCTTTGTCACCACTAACCGACCATTTCCAAGCGACATCGTTCGCAAAGGCACCACCATTCAAATTTTTCCGAAGAGACCCTTGAGAGCTAGCATCACGAGAGTGCAAGTCAACAGTCGTGGCACCAACATCAACCAAATGAAATGTGGAGAAGGGCGCACGATGCTTCACATGTTCACTCACAACCAGCTGCCAAGCACATGCAACACGCTGAAGCAGCTCGGAAAAATTAAGCAAGTGCAAAAAGAAGCTACCAAACCTGTCAGTGACTAAGCCATCAACTCCCAACTTCCAACCAAGCTGATGAACACGCATGAGGAGAATCTCAGCAACACCATTAGGGGCACCACCGAGCCCAGCAGCAACGTCATTTAAAGTAACAAGCTGGTCAGGAGCGCACCCAAAGTCACGAAAGTCACGAAAGGTCGCAATGATAGCATAGAGTTGTGGATCCAAATGCAAACCTTCCAAGATCATGTGGAGATACGGGCTCGCTTGCGGGCGAGCAGCGTCAACCGCACGCATGAACTCAGTGCGAAGTTCAGCAAAGTGTTTCAAGCCAAGCACACTAGCACTGATTCCATGAAAAATTCGCGGCCAAGCCGCAGTAACCACAACACGAACCTTTTGCTTGTACGCACCAAAAGCACCCCGCAATTTGTTCCAGAAGTCTTGGAGGTCAGAAATCCGAAGCTGGATAGTCTGGTTCCGGATCTGCCGAGAATACACCACATGGGCCCCCAGGTCACGCCCTGACAAAGACACAGTGAAACCCGATTGGCGAAGGTGCCGACGAATGCCACGATCAGTCGACCAAGCAACAGTTTTCGAGGTATCCAGCGTCAAGTCAAGCAAGCGAGCGAACTCCAAGATTGAACGATTGGCACGCAACAAGCATTCAGCATCCGTCGAGACAAGCTCCCAATTGTCAACATAGCTGAAGCAACGGACCCTAGGAGCAAACGCAGCAAGCCAAGAATGAAGAAGCTGGTTTATCATCAACATGGCCAAGCAAGATAGCCCGCAACCCTCTGGCACCCCACAGGTGCTGGAGACTGGGGGCCCAAGAGAATTGCGGACCACAAAGCGCCTCTGCATGCCACCAAGAAAACCAGCCCACGCCTGGACAATCCCAAAATCAACCCCACATTTCAGAGCCAGTCCCAGCACAGGAACTCTCGGCAGCGTGTTGAAAGCTTTAGTAAGGTCAAGAACCAACCCGGAATGAGCAACATCATGCACATAAGAATCCTGAACGCAATCCACAATGACACGCCAGAGGTGGGCCGCGCGGCGGCCAGGTCGACTGCCAAAGAGATCATCATGCCAAAAGGAATCCAACGTGTGCAACCAGTATTTGGATTGAATCGTAGACCAGACACGGTAAACCAAACTGAACACGCAAATTGGTCGATAGTCATTAGTACCAAGGGGGTTTGCAGATTTTGCCAAAGACTTGACCGCTCCAACACACAGTTGCTCTGGCCAAGTGCCAGTGCAAGCAGCATGCTTGTAGAAAGCCAAAATTTGAGAAACCTCAGAAGGGCGAAGAGACTGAAGGTCAAGTTTGGATACACCATCAAGTCCTATGGCAGCACGATTCTTTTTGCCCGCAACAACAGAATGGAACAAGTCCACGGTAAGATCAACAGGAGGAACATCAACAGGTCGCAAAACCCGATCAGCAAACGCAAAAACCCTGTTCCAAGCTTCCGATGGCATGTCAGCATGCCGTTGCCAAAAGGCATTCCAATGTTCAGAGAAGGCAGCAAAAATGTCATGCAACTGGCCACCAGCCCGGTGTTGGACGACCGAATCGCCAACATCGAATCCAGATACATCAGGGAGCCACAGCTTATCATGTTCAACATGAATCGGATCAACAGGACGTCCCCCCACAAAGGTGGGAAGATCAGCAAGAACACCAGCTGGCTCAACTTCAAGAGAGAGATCATCAGGATCGACAGCGGAAATCACAAAGTGACAAGGATTGACCAAAGTATCAACAGGCAGGGGCATGTCACGCTTAACAACCTTGTACAAGGCATTCACATCCCTTGACCGCTTCAAGGAAGCAGCCCGACGAGTTTGTTTGACAAGGACATTCTCAATTTTCCGAGTCTCAAACTCCACCCGCTGAAAAACACGACAAGCCATGGCAGACCCAGGAGCAACCAGAGGGAGATTCAACGGTTCGCCAACATTGCGATCCAAGTCATGCCACCATTCTGCAAACGTGGGCTTAAAGCCACGCGCATTCAAAATGGATTTCCACAAGGCAATGCGGTGTTCAGTATGAGAGGGAGAATGTTGCAAACTGGCAGCAAGGCGAGCATATGACTGCAAACGACGCACTTGACGAAACATCATAGAGTGGATCCAAGAATGGCCAAGAAAGGTAGGCTGCAATTCCCCACGCCGACCACACTTTGGAGGGGGCACATGGTGACAAACACACGGTTGAAATCGCGAACCACGACCAAACTGATTGGGCAACAACCGCCGGTTTTGGGAAGCAAAGACCGCAGAAGCAGAAGCTTCAACTTCCTGCCAAAAGCGACGGTAGCCAGCACTGGGGTCGGCAAGTGCATCAGCAACAGGTGCTGCAGGCCGGTGAGCATCAGCAGCAGCCCAATTGATCTTATGAGGGGTGGGCCAAGGAAATTGCACAAACGCCGACGGAGAAGCATCAAACTCAGCAACCAGGGCCGAATGATCAACCCAAGCATGGTCATCAAGCCAACACATACGAAAGGCAGGGATCAACTCAGCAGAGATGAAAAGGAAGTCACGGCGAGTCTTGCCACGGCACGTCGCCCGAGGGCAGATTCCGGATCGAGAGGCGTAAAGATCCTGAACCTCGACAAATCCAAGCGAAATCAAACGACCAACGGCCTCAAGAGAGTCCAAGTCATGATTCCAATCGCCCGCCACGAACCTGGGCCCACGGGCGCACTGAATGCGATCCACCACTTGATGTAACATGCGATTGGTAAAAGCTTTAGCTTGTGGATGCGTCGGCCCAGTAGGCGCACCATACATGACCAAGCCAGTGAGCCAAATGCCAGCAACATGAGTCGTAGAAACCACAACACGGCCAGTGTCAAGCAACTCATCACTAAGACCCGCAGGAACCGCCCGGGAAGGATGCTGAGACAAAACTCCAACACCGGTCCACTTCCCAAGATCAGATGCAATGGAGCGAACAGGCGCACCAACACCATGCACAAACCATTTGAAAGGCGAAGCAATGGCACGCAAGCTTTTGCCAAAATTGCGACAACCATGAACACTAAAATGCGTTTCACACACAAGCCAAATGTCCACATCAGTTGAAAGAAGATGTGTTTTTCCCATCAACCCAGAAGGGTTGCAAACCCCAAGCGACCAAGACGCAGCATTGGGACCAGGAACAGCTGCTTCGCCGATCCGACACTGCAAGGTCCAAACGACAACGAGAAGCCAAACGGGCCGGAGCGACCCCAAAACGCTATTGCCGATGCCACCAAAACTCTTGAAGCCTCTGTGAGGAAAAGGAAGCTGCCCAGCAAGGACCGACAACCCCAAAGCCGACCCAAGCAGCGCCAAAATCAAAACGGACTCAAACCAAAGGGCCAATTGAAGACCCAAACCGAACAAAAGTATGATCACCAAGCACTGGGCCACACAGGTCCGAAGCAACGGATCAAAACCAAGCGGAGAGTCACTGGAACAAAAACCCTGGCCTCCACCACTGAGCCTGGCAGTGGTACGGCCACACCATCACTCGTGGCGAGCTTTCTTTTCAAGCAAAGCTTCAATTTTGGTCATCTGCTGACTGAACATGCTTTGCATTTGATTCGTCTGGGCCTCCATCTGAGCCGAGACTTGGCATTGGAACTGAGACAACTGCGCATCATGCCGACGATCCTGTTCAGTAATTTGGGTTTCAACATTGCCTTGCCGGTGGAGCAGTTGCTGCACCTGATTTTCAAGGAACTGAAAGCGGACATCCGTGTCATGCGCCAGCTGGTCAACTCGCTTCTCAGCTTCATCCGTCTCCATGGGGACCTGAGGCTGAAGCTTCTGAAGGATGGCTGATTCAATGCGAGCTTCGGCTTCACGCAAGTGATCAGCAGAAGGCAACACCGGAGCAGGGACCGACAACTTGGCAATGGGAGCCTGCCACGGATCCGCCACAAGCCAAGGATCATCACCACAATTCCCCATGTCATCAGCAACACAAAGCTTCATGGTCGCAGAGGACGCAATCAATGCATTCGGAACAGGTTTTGAAGTTTTCAACGGAAGTTTCGAAATCACAACATCACCAAATTTCGCCGTGACAATGTTGTCAACGGGATCGTCAGCAGCATGCATCAACCAAACCACACCACTGCCAGACACTGTTCTGAGAGGAGAAACCGGTTTTGCTTTCCACTTGATGCTGGCACACAGGGCATGAACACTGGACCTATCCATGCCAAAAGGAAGGGGGCCCATTTCAAACTCAACACGGGGACCCGCAGCCAAAACCACCGTACCTGGACGAAGGATGCTACTGACTGCAGCCATGTCACAAGTTGCAACCCGCACTCCAAACCTGGAACCCATGCGAACAATGCCAATGACTGACGCTGTGCACTGCGCCGCATGCTGAACCTCAGCAGGAGTGGCACGTGGGAGCCAAACCACCTGAAAGTCCAGATTAGGCTGCTTGGCATCAAGCGAGCGAGGCTCCAGAAAGATACCAGCAACCCCGGAGCTCTTCAGCATCAGCAACTCCACAGACTTGGCATAGCGAATGTTGACCAAGAAAACCTCAGCCTTGGAAGGATCACAAGGTTTGAAGCCCATGGAAACCCACTGCCGACGCCACAAGTCGAAAATGACATCAGACACATCGCTATCATCCGGCACATGCCACATCCCACAAGTTTTCACGCAGTCAGATTGGCGACAAGTGTTCAAGCAAACCACATGCTGAAGAATGTACTTAATCGGGCTGTGAACAACATCTTGCCACGAACCAAGCACAGAGTCACGGTAGACTGCAATCTTAACACACGCAGCAGCGGCAACAGCAGGATCAACAATCTTCTCAGCCGAAGCTTTCACCACAAGCTTTCCACCAAGTTGCAACAAAACCCCGCTGACAAGGAGCGGCTCACCATTCGTCACGCAACGCAAAGGAATCCGAATTTGAGACCAGCACAAGGTAACAACATCAGGAAGGTCATCAACATGGACAATGAAAACCGCAAGGCATTGCTGAGAAACCTTTTGATTGGTCTTCAAGAATTGCTCAATCATAGGACGATTGCAAATGGCAACACCCTCCGCAAACGGACCAAGCTGAGACACTTGCAGCTGTTTCAATGGCTGGTTCGACTCCGAAACAAACAAACCCTTTTCAAATGCCAACTTCGCCGGATCCAGCATGACAGGTTTGGCAGGAACTGACTTTGGACCAACCTGCTTGGGAGCTGCCGTCCTGCTTTTCTTATTTTGTTTCACCTGGATGGCCGCTTCAAGTTCTGCCGGGAGAACCAGTTGAAACACAGGACGATTCTGATTGGCCAAGGACTTTAAACCTCGCCAAGGAGACGCTGAGGTCAACACCTTTTGAACTTCCGCCAAGCCCAATGCCTGGATAATCAAGGAAATCCGACCATCACACTGCTCAGGTGGCACACCATGCTGCACAAGGAGATCAAGCAACCTAGCATGAGCATGGGGCTCAAGTCCATTCGCCCATGCCCATGGACGCGGAACATGCTCAAAGGCTGTGATCTCTTTGACAAAGATTTCCCTGGCAACCTGGTGGAGCACTTTGCACTCATCAAGCTGAGTGGGAAGCATTTTGCCACGAATCATTGAGTCAAGGAACCGGACCGCAGCAATTCCACAAAATTCAGCCGGAGCAAAATTACGGTGAGTAACTTGAACAATGAAAGACTCAACACCAACAACTTTAGCAACAGCAGAGTGCAAAAGTGCAAGAGGTGTGCACGAGTCACGAACAACATCCCAAGACGAAGCCAACAACCTGCCAGAGGTCCAAGTCCAAAAGAACGGCACCCAATGTTTATCAACCCAAACTGCTGACGCAATGGCTTTGAGGGATCCACGCTGACCATCGAACCACTCTTGAATCATCTTGGCTACAGGACGACGGGTACCCTCAGTGGCCAACAAAGGATCCAAGAACGCAATGTCAGTGCGTCCACTGGCCTCAATCATTCTTTTGACATGAAAGTGAACCTCATCATCGGCCATCACACTACCTTGTTTGTCCAAAATTTGCAACCGACCAGCAGTAACCATCAACTGACTCCGAATTGAATCCAAGAAAGGAATGCTATTGATCTTGGGGCCCAACACTTCCATCAGCTGAGAAGCAGACAAAGCACCAAGGGGATCAAGCAATTGCTCTTCAGACAAAGGGGCAACAGCCACAGCAGGAGCTAAAAGCGGGACAGAGTGTGCAACAAGTGACTCATTGTGACCAACCTCATGGCCACCAACAGCCGAGATCTCAGGCAAAGGACAAGGAACAGCAAACGGAATGGTCCGAGACACCTCACAAGTGTCAAGGTAAAAAATGTTTGAAACCACCAACCAGAATAGGAAAGAGTGGTTTAATTAAGAAAAAAAAACGTTCAATTTAAGCAACCAACATTTGGATTGTTGGAAAACAATGGGCCGTCATATCTCCAACAAAAAAGGTGATTTAACCAACACAAATGTGAATCTGGGGGATTTGTGAAGATTTAACAATCAACAAGTCGATTTGTTGACGAACAAATGATGGAATCAATTTAAAGGATGAAACTGTCACTAAACGGATGTGTATGAATTTACCGAAATAATTTACCCTTCTTGGTTGTGTCCAAAAATGAGGGATGCCTCAAGTCCCCAATTTCTAGTGACTTGTGTAAATCTGAACACTTGAAATTTTGGTGAAGGGGGGAGTATCATCTTAGACTTGCTTAAGAAGCACCCATTTTTTAAACATGTTCCTTACAGATTAAATGCTAAATTTCCTATAGACACAACCGAGGTGATTGGGAGGGGGCCATCATCAGAACTCATGATTCGGACTTGACCAGGAATGGTGGATTTACCTCCTAGTCTTTACATGGCAATTTGCCTGGCGATAATTATGTTTTTTTTGGGGGGGGGCACTCTATTTTAGGAGAGAGACTTTGATTTTGTACTCAGTATCGCTTTTTGACATGCTTAAACAAGATAATACAAGATAGAGTAACCAGTGACAATCTGATTGGATCTAATCGGTAATATCAAGACCGCCAAAACATGGGAAACTTTGGATCATCCTCCAAGGGCAGTCCCGTCAACAGCAACGAACTGACCATAGTTGAATTGGTTTTTATCAGGGGGCTACCAGCACAAAAACATGTGGTTAAAGCAACACCAACAGGGAATGCAACTTCCCATCGGAAGGAGCAGATTTTGCATTACGATCCCATTGCTGCAATGTGGTGCCACAGTTATCAGTTGGTTCAAGAACCCATTTAGCTGTAGATATATTCACCGCAAACCTCAGTTATATTTGTTATACGCTATAAACAGACTTAGCTATCTAGGGGGCCCCTTCCCGTAAGTAGTAAGCAATTGCGGGTTCAATTTCCCACACTAGTGCGGTCAACTCCCATGTTTTATCAGGGACCCAAGCGATTTGCTGCGCCAGGCAGCTTTCGGATGTTCGTTGTTTCAACAAAAAATGACAATTCAAAATATCGCCCTGAGCCAAGTTTTCAAAAAATGCCCATGAATTGGATTGGTAATCTCATGTTGGGATGGCCCCCTCTGATTTAAAGTTGTTACCCAGGTCCAAGAGTGATTGCAACCACCAAACAACGAGGTTTTTGAATGAAATCTCTGCTGAAATCCAGATGTCCAACGTCTAATTCAGCTTCCCCATAAGGATCCAGAGAGAATAACATAAACCACAATTTTGACCTCTCATTGGTTACAAACTGAATTCCCAGCCCTGCCCTAACGTACCTGCTGTTGGGTGTTCCCTCCATCAGGCGCTCCTGATATCCCAAAAAGGGTAACCAGCACTCATTGAAAAACATCACGCAAGATAACAAAGATTGTTGCTCAACATCCTGTGATAGCGAACGCTTACAGTATCCTAGGATATCCACAAGTGAGAAGTCCCCGAGTACTCGCCCCATACCCCTAGGTGGGTATCATGAGGGGATCGTCAACAAATCATGAGGATGTAGCCAGGAAAGGGTACCAACATGACTCAAGTTGAGTACCCCGGTGAAATCAAACAAAAGGATTTCTCAGGCAAATTTGCGGATAGAGTTTATCAAAATCATTTTCAAACACTATCCAAATACAAGTTCATGTCTGTATGCACAAACATGGCAGTTTTAGGTCCCACTTCGAACTTTACTGGGGCATTGTGCTACGATGCAAGATGTCATGAGGCAACCCATGGGGTCAAGTCCTGGAAATACTCATGCGGGGTGCCTGAAAAATTCGGTACCCTTACAACCACTGGTTAATTATCATTTGTTCCACTCAAATTTCCATTTGGAATACATTATAATATATGCCTATGCCATGTCAACACACACTTGCTCAGAACAGTCATTGCAAATTTTGTTGTGGAATGCATCTTACGTGCACAAACAATCCCTTTAAACCTGACAGGAGTGAGTCCCTGAAAGGACCCGAGAAACAGTGAAAGAAGTCATCGCCATAGCCAGGGCAAGTTAGAGAAAATTGGAAGCTGACCCTTCCCTTTCAACAAAGCCATATCGTTCTCCACTTGACAGATTGCGAAAACCGTACAGAAAATGAAATGGACATTGGAAACTGCGGAAAATCAAAGCTGACGTCATGCCGGTTCTGGGCTTAGCCGGTTGCCATTCACGAAGATTGGAAATTGACATCGAAAATGGTTTCAAAACGAATGCAGGTACGTCCAGGTGATCAGCCTAGAGAGCTTCGTTGGGCACAGCTCTATGGGCCTTCTGTGCCCCCCTGCGACATGAAATAAAATGAAAGAACCTCAAAAACCGACAAACCAGGTAGAAGTTTTACATCTATTCAGATGGTTCACACACACCATTTCTGGGCAAACCCATCTATGTGATTGAAATGGCGTTACCACATTATTGCATCCAATATTGGTAACAATAGTCACTACATTATTTCACTACATAATTGGCTCAGACCCTTCTATGTTCTATATTTTTATACTACTGTTTTTTGAATGAATGAATGGATGCCCCTATGTGCTCACCCCCAACTGTGGAAAGATGACAAGCTGGACTTGCCCACACAATCTATGAAACACATGACAAACACCAACTCAAGTAGCCGGCTAGTCTTATTGTATGAAAACACAAAATACACATACATATACGTATGAGGTAAGAGCATTTATATATATATATATAATTTGCAATTTTATGTAATGTGTATGTGCCTATGTATCCCCATTTGTGGCAAAGAAATGTGCCCAACCAATTTTAGCTCAAAAATATTAAACATGTTTCCTCACCAACTGTATGGAACATGTAGAATGTAGCACCATCTGTTGTGGCACAAACGGTCCAGAAAAGATTGAACAATATATATATATATGTATATATATCATACATATTGATTATACAACTTTGATGGTGATTCACTCTACTATCTTCTCGGGAATACAACAAATATAATTTCACAAGACATGCAGACTGTGCCTCCAATCACCACCACGGGAACGGGCATCACCGGCACAGCAATCAGTGTAGGAACTGCGCGTCAAGAAAAGCGTCGATTCCAACTTGGGGTGGTGGAGCGCCCAAGAAACATCATGAAACATTTTCGCAAGGCTCAACCAGTGAAGAAACAGTTCTTAACGGGGGACAAAAAATCGGAAAACATTGGGATTCAGCCTGCCGAACAATGGGCCGGGGAAACAGTAACAACATGTGTTTGACATATTATGACATGGAAAAATTGGTCGAAACGACACCCAAGATAAGAGAATGCGTTTTGAGAATACGCAATGAAAACTCAAATTGGATGGCATTCTCACCCAAAAGGACATATTTTTACACCCACAACATCTTACACAAAAAAGGAACAAACACATGTTCGCAATGACCTCCAGGCGAAAAAAAACAAGGAACCTACACCAACGCAAGTGGAAAACAAGGCCCAACTCACAATTGTTTGCCCAACACCAATTGTTTCCCCAACACGGACAATAAAAAAACGGGTCCTGGAAACATTCTGCAGTGTGTCTTCGGATCCTGGGCACATGGCGCTGCATTTGAAAGGTATTGTAATGTGAATACCATGGTGATTCATGGTGACGGTGTCATTGGAACCCGCAATCATATCCCTAGGGTAGCAACCGCGCATTATTGGAAAATACATGTTGCAAAGACCAGCCAAATTGTCCAGAACCCGCTTTTCCAAAAATAATAGCAGCTGCAGGAAAACAATGTGCGAATCTCTGTGCAAACATGCCTAAACTTCTCTGGATGCAGTTGTCGTGACACAACATTGATTGTCTTGTTGTGAAAAAGGGGGTTAACATTCTTCAACTTTTACCTGAACCTCCAAACATACCAAAACATGGCGCACCCACCATGCTGGATATATCCACCTTTCAATTTTTTTGTTCTCGTCGTCCACTTGTTTTGCTCCTCTTTTACCCTGCCGTCAGCAAGGACTGTTTAGCGAGGGAAAAAACTCAAAGTGGCGAGGGGCAATTGGACCCGGAACGCCCTCAAGGAAACTGTTATTCCAATTCCTGAATCCTGAATTCAAACAGAATCTAAAAACTAAATTCAACAGATCTCACCCCTCAAAGGGATTGATAGGGTTTCTTCGAAAAAGAACCTCTTTTGTTGTCACCACAATTCATCCAAAGCGCGCGTGTCAGCCTTTACCACTGCTGCTGTCCACCAGGCCTTCTTCTCGCTGCGGCGCCACTTATCTCAAGCACTAAATGGGCTGCGCGGAGCAATTGAATTTGTAGCTATCGACCCAGGATCAGTCAGCTCGGGGATGGACAAAATGCAGTGTGACTTGACATATTGATTCGTCAACTAACATCACAAAATCCAATCCAGCAAAAAACAACTTACTGTACATTACGTGCATAATTCAAATTCCTACAGTACTTATTATATTTCCAACACCCGAAGATGCAATCCACATGCATGGACCGCGTGAAGGACTTGCGGAAACGTGTCAATGACAAACAGGAACATCGCGTGTACCTGCTAGGACCTGGTAGAATGCTTTTTGCAAGTATAAATATTGTTTGTCAGGTATCCCTGCGCACTGGTAATTGCAATTGCACCTGTTATATTGATGGGCATTGGGTTACAAGGGCAACTTTTCTGCAACTTAAACTGGATCTGTTCTTGCCACCTGTTGACGCATGGCCTAGGAACCCTGCATGGTGCCGAACAAGACGTATCTACAACCCAGACACCCTCAAAATGGACCACTGGCAGCTGTTTCGGTGTATGCCCCTTGCACTGAAGATCATCCCCAACTTTCAACCAAATTGTTGCCGCCTCCTAGACAAAATGTATTATAAAACGATTGGGGTCTGCTTTCAATGTTTGGAAGCCAGGGGCGGGTGGAGAAGATTGAGACCAAATGGCATCCCGAGACATCATCACGTTCAGGTGGGGCTAGCTGTCTCTACAGCTAAGTCTTGGAGCTAATCCTGCAGTGTTGCCTCCCTAAAGGGCAAAAACAACTTTGCCTGGGTCCCCCGCAAGCTGCCCATCCATTGCATGCCTGGCGCGCAAGGTGCATTCCACCAGGCCAAACAAACCCCGTTTGGCTGAGCAGCGTTTAAGCCAGAACTCTGTATATCCGTTTCGGACCCCTCTAATCCCAGTCCTGACTCACCACTCGAGCAGCTCCAGCATTTTTTCGCCTCGACAGTTTTGCCGGTTGAGCCCTGTCTCCTTTGCAGCGCCGCCGCGCGACCGCTGAGCGTGCGGCGGCCGCGTTCCGTCGCGGTCGCCGTGTCTGTAGCGGGTTCGCCCAAGCCTTTCTGGTGGAGCCGAGGTACGTGTGGGGCTTTCTTTGTCCTTGCTCACCTTCTTCGGTCAGTTCTGACATCATCAGGTATCCTGATGTAGATTCTTGTTGTATACCTCGCTTATGAAGTAGATGGCGAAGATCTACTCCATAAGCGAGGTATACGTCTTCGACCTGACACGGTGTTGCTTCGATGGTGCAAAGACCTCCCACAAACCAGCCTACGTGGGGACCATGTTTGTATACAGCAGCCGTCTTCACAAACCTGTAGGAACCCTGCTCTATCACAAACTAGATGGCGGCCCCCGAACTTCAATCCAACTTCAAAGCATTAATGAGACGAATGCTCTCGCTAAATTGTTTGTGCCAATCTGGCATTTCTGCCCCCGTTCCTCTGTCAGCGCTCGAGCGCCCAGACAACATACAAACTAGACGACAGTTGGCCCGAGAGCGAAAAAGACGTTTTTCAAGCAGCTCTGAGTATGGTAGTCGTAAAACATAGTCGGTGAATGGTTGGTGAATTTTATATGAGCTATGGAGGGATAAGTTGTGAAAAGTAAGATTGTTTAAGAAGAGGATACATGTGACAACCCATGCATATGCACTGTGCTGCTTGGTAAAGGGCATCATATGACACGTGTCTTGCAACCACAGAGAGACATAGATAGAGAGAAAGGGGGGGAGAGAGAGAGAGAGAGAGGGAGGGAGAGAGAGAGGGAGAGAGAGAGAGAGAGAGAGGGGGAGAGAGAGAGAGAGAGAGAGGGAGAAATAAAGGGAGAATAGAGAGAAAACATGAAAAATATAATGTGAGCAACAAAAGTGCACAGGAGGCTCGGTACCATGATGCTGCGATTGACATGTGTTTTCTCATTTTACTATGGCCGGCGCATACCCAACAGAGCGCATTAGCCCATCACCTCTGTTGTCATATTCTGATGATAGCCCGAGCTATCGCCAGAACCTTGGCCTCAAGTTATGCGTATCTGTGTCCCCCACCACCGGCCAACGTGGTGCCAGCCGCGTTGGAGCAAGCTGTTTGGTAAGGACAAGCAGAAACAGACAGCATGAACAATGCAACGCGAGAACATGCCGATGGCAAGTAAATGATGTGTATGGCACATTCCCAATGAAACTTACTTGCGCAGACGCCATCAAGTCGAAACAAACTCATGTTTCAGTAGGAATGTTGCCAATGACGTTGTAAAGTGAGCTGGTGATGGTGATGTGAATGACACTTTATTATAGTTTTAGTTTTTTTTTCACAAAGGTATACGAAAAAAGCTCGGCACCACTCGATGTTGTCTGACTTTGTTATGGACATTTCCACGAAAGTACGCAGAAAAGCTCGGTACCATGATGCTTTGAAATCGCAGTGAAACGTTGTGGCTCAGAAGTGCTAACCTTAGTGCATAGCACAGCGCTGGACACATTCCAGTAATTTGATTTTACTTCAAGACCAAAAACATCCATCAAAAACCCAGGCCGGTACCAAACTGGCGCAAGAGTCACCTCAGAAATTTCAGATTGCACGATCATTCATAGTTGTTCACTCGTACCAAGATGAGATCGTCTGTCATCGAGTTGGATCACACACACAGACAACACTTTTCAACTTTTGAACTGCTGGTCGCACTAATGAGTCCACATGTTCGTCACGAACAGTCTTTACAGACAAACAGCAGTTGGCTACTGATCTTGCAGGTTCACCAGGAACAGTCTCTCCAGACGAACAGTGGTGCAAATTAGTTTCTGTCCGCCGCACTGAGTTCCATGTGCCACTCGGTACGCAAACCTTCCAGTTTCCACAAAGCCTCCAAGACATAGGGGCGATTGTGCCAAGGGCGCAAGGAAGGTCTTTTCTCAAGCAGCAACTGGAGGGCATCCTCTGCAGAGTAGTTGTAACCCACGACGAGCCAAGCACATAAAACCCCAGCGCTTCGATTGATGCCTCCAAAGCAATGGAAGAGCACGTGCATGGATTCGCCCCTGGTCACTGCCAGCATGGATTGTTTCCAGAGTTGGCCACAGACAATTTTCCACTGTTCCAAACAAGAAGCTACCAAGTCGGGGATTCGTTCATCCCAACGGTGCGGCGGCGTCAATGTCGTGTCCTCCAACTGACACTTGATGTGAAAGACTTTTCCTTGCTGGAAATACCGCGTCCAATCCTTCGGGGCGCCTTGAATCTTCATTTCATTTGCGCACATGGTCACGACCACGGTGACCTTCACCAACAGAGTCTTCAAAATGTCTTCCAAGCTACACGCCGCTTTGATGCTTCCAAGCAACACCGACGCTCGATCCGTAGGTTTGTAGATCACGGCAGCGTCCAACGGCCACTGCTCTATGGACTTGAAAACTGGACTAAAATCACTAATGGGAGATATTTTCACTTTAGGCAAAAAATGGAAATATTAGTACTTATTTGAACTTATCATAGAACTTATTCTAACTTATTTTAACTTATTTTTACTTCTGTTCATTTATTTTCACTTATTTTCCCTTATTTTTTTAATATTTGTTAAAGGGTGATTCCTGGAAAGAACATGTCCTGAACAGGAAACTTTCTGTTATGGATATGTCGGTTGCATGTTACTTCCTTATATTTTAGAAATAATTTTCCACAAAAAGGAATTTTTGGACTATTATAGATTCTATGTATTCGATAGCGTTTATGACTTCTATTTGCCTTGAAAAAAAGATAAAAGTTTCTGATTTTTCAATTTTTGGACTATTTTTGGAATCTTCTGAATTTTCAAAACTTTCTGTATTTTCTGTATTTTCTGAATTATGTATTTTCTGATTTTTCTGAATTTTCTGCATTTTCTGAATTTTCTGAATTCTTCATATTTAAATATATATATAATATATATATATCTATATAATTCTGAATTTTCTGAATTTTCTGATTTTTTTGAATTTTCTGAATTTTCGGAATTTTCTGAATTCTGATTTTTTTGAATTTTCTGGATTTTCTGATTTTTTTGCTTTTTTTTTGCATTCTCTGATTTTTCCCCACCTGCCAGGTGAGGGTTGTTCCCCACCTGCCAGGTGAGGGTTGTTAGATTTTATGTCAGTTGCCTCCTCCTGCCTCGTCCTCCTCCTCCTCCTCCTCTCCTCCTCTCCTCCTCGTCCTCCTCGTCCTCCTCGTCGTCCTCCTCGTCCTCGTCGTCCTCCTCGTCCAACTGCGACCCGCGATCCACAGCGTTCTCTGTCGGAC